CGCACGCGCAAAATTTGAACGAGTGACGACTGGTAATTAGCAACTTGCTGATTGGCTAAGACGAAACGTTCGTGTTTCAGTGAAAAACGTCAGCAATTTAACTGTCATTTTGCAAACTATTTTTTTAAAAAAATGTTTCGAAAACACAATATGAAATGTGGAATCAAATAACAGATAAAACACTGGGAAGAGTTTAAAATATTATCAGAACTGGAAGAAGTAGCGGTGAAAAGGAACAACTGGTTTATAATCCTTGAAATGGTAGGAGTCTATTTTGTTCATTTCGAAGTTTATTTCGTGTTTGCTGTACGAATACATTTTATGAGCTTGGTACAGTGTGTCGTTTTGCTCGGTTTTGCGAAGACGCGACCGACTATTTAAGGCTTTACATCATCGTTTTAACTTCAAAAAGAGTTCTTAAAACTGTATTTTGGAGTTTTAATACAACAAATATCACTTTAAAGGTTTATAGAGTCGACTGCAATCACTGCATGAATTTATTAATCGAAAAACAACATTCGACGTTCACTGCTTGGTTATTTATATTATTTGTGCTGTTTTGATGTTTTGAAGGTTTAGCTATAATTAATGGAGTATTAACTCCCACTTAAACTGTGAAAGTCTGTAACTTAATGCAACGGAAAGCAGCAGGAAAACGGGTGATTATATTGATCGAAACTAATAAAAAAATAAAGTAAACTAATCTCTGATAATTTTCCTCGCTTCTTACATGCGAATTACGATTTAAAACTACTTTTAACATGACAAAATACAGCAATATTTTTATAGTTTTTGATCAAAAATATTTCGTACGATGCGGGATGCGGGATGACTGTGGTCCCTGTATTCGTCATTGTTTTGAAATATTTTACATGATCTTATTGGTTGAAAAAAGAAACAAACTGTAAAGTATTTAAACGAACTTTTTTCAGAGCTTCCTACCTTATGTAATTATATATTATACATTACATTGACGAATTGCCGAAAAATTTTTCGGCCGCTATTTTTGGGCCGCCTATGTTTCTAAGTATATATGCTTCGAAGAAGAACCCGATTGCCGGATACAGCCTCGTCATGTACGGATGTCTGCCAGAAAAGTATTTTTTAGCTCGAGGGTATTTACAGACTATTCATTTTACGATTCTTGGTAAACTGATATGCAAATTAAACTTGCAAGAATTTTAGTGCAAGAACTGATTTAGCCAACAGGATCTCTTCATTTTGTTGTGTGCATTATCCTGTACTTCATTGCATGCACGTTTTCCTTCAGTTGAATTCTATATTTCTATAACTAAGGAGTGTTTTCTTGGTTACTCTAGTATTGAAGCAATTTCCTTAACGACGTTTCTCGTCTTGTTTATAGACACCATGCAAAGAAGAACCTCAGTAAAGCAGATCGTGTGTGTGCCGCAAATGCCAGTTGCTATTGAAACAAAATTATGTGTTGCAAATGTTGCTTTTGAAACAGAATTAATTTACTTACATAATTCCAATTCGACATGTAAATTCTCACAGGTCACTGAAGTTGCAAACGTTTCTCTAATATTTTGTAATATTTTAAACCACTACGTTTGAATTAGCCCTGCTTTTGATTCTTGTGTGTTGTGAGTGTTGTCCTTTATGCAGGTATATACGGTGGCCCACAGGTGCAAAACACAAACGCAAATTCAAAATACAAACGCAAACTCAAAACACAAACGCAAATTCAAAAACATAAACGCAAATTTGAAAGCATGAACACAAATTTCAAAACAGAAACGCAAATTTCAAAACACAAACGCAAATTTCAAAACACAAACGCAAATTTCAAAACACAAACGCAAATTTCAAAACACAAACGCAAATTTCAAAACACAAACGCAAATTCGAAAACATAAACGCAAATTTGAAAGCATGAACACAAATTTCAAAACAGAAACGCAAATTTCAAAACACAAACGCAAATTTCAAAACACAAACGCAAATTTCAAAACACAAACGCAAATTTCAAAACACAAACGCAAATTTCAAACACAAACGCAAATTTCAAAACACAAACGCAAATTTCAAAACACAAACGCAAATTTCAAAACACAAACGCAAATTTCAAAACACAAACGCAAAACTAACAAGATGAACGACTATCTTTAAAACCAGGAACGGGGAATCAAGGAACGGGGAATCAGGGAACGGTGAATGAGAATCTCCGAAATCTTTAAAAGCCGGAATGAGAAACATGTAAACAGAAGGAGCAATAAAATAAAATAAATCCCGTTCTAAACAAGTTGTGTCATTCGATATCAACTTTTTTTTTGCATAAAAACAGTCAATTTATGATACAAGTACGATCGTACTATACGTAGTGGACCAGGAACTGCGTGACCGAGTTTCTGAACTGCATTGCATTTACAACAATAGAGAGGACAATGTATTTCTAATCGTTTGCGTATTCTTATATATAGGCTGATAATTAATGATATATAGGCTGAATATTAATGATATATAGGCTGAATATTAATGATATATAGGCTGAATATTAATGATATATAGGCTGAATATCAATTATATGTATATATTATTTGCTGCACATATAGTCAAGAATTGCTTGTAACTTGCATCGACGGTCAAAAGTAAAAATTCGAACTCCGTCAATCGATGCGGAATATTGCTTAGAATAATTGTGCCAAGTTTCATTCCGATCAAACAAGTAATGATAGCTAGAGCCTTAGGGTTTTTTTAAAGAGCGTCGCCCCTAACTACAGCAACAACAACAACAAGAAGATTAGCAGCGGTTAGCAACCAGTTCCTGGTCCAAAAATTAGCCTGGTTTTCAGTATCTACTCCATTGTGTTAAGGTGCAACAAGTATGAACTGCACTTGATGAGCATGCCATAGAAAATTTCTAGTAAGCAGTACATATAGCTAGGGACCAATGAAATTCTGCACATGATATTGCACTGCATGAAAGCAAAAGAAATCATTTCAGTCATTCCAATGTCCATGTCCTTGGTTAGACAGCGAGGACAAGGACCGCGACGACCGCTTTGGTGATGGTCCAATATTTCGCCTGGATAAGAAGCACTCCGATAACGCTTGATTTTCACGATATTTTAGACTTGATATTGATTTAACATATTGCGTTCGTAGTAGCATGGCTATTCAAATATGATTATTTCACGTTTTAGACCGAATCGGGAAAATTCCAACGACAAAATTCAAGAGACAGGCTAATTTTATCATAAATTGACTGTTTTTATGCAAAAAAAGTTGATATCGAATGACACAACTTGTTTAGAACGGGATTTATTTTATTGCTCCTTCTGTTTACATGTTTCTCATTCCGGCTTTTAAAGATTTCGGAGATTCTCATTCACCGTTCCCTGATTCCCCGTTCCTTGATTCCCCGTTCCTGGTTTTAAAGATAGTCGTTCATGTTGTTAGTTTTGCGTTTGTGTTTTGAAATTTGCGTTTGTGTTTTGAAATTTGCGTTTGTGTTTTGAAATTTGCGTTTGTGTTTTGCACCTCTGGGCCACCGTAGTTCAACTTTGAACCATCCTCACAAACCTCATTCAAAGCAAACCTTCCTCCGGGTGGTACCCGCGTACCCGCAGCTTTTTTGCAACTCTGTGATTCCAGATTGCAGAGTGTGTTGGTTGTGGTTTGCAAGGTGTGGGTTCCACTAAAAATTTTAAAACCAACTTGCCTGGTAGAGAGTGTTCAAATGATGAGCGGTCAGGCTATATACAACCCTTTCTATATAACATGGAGTAGGCAATTCGCCTGTACATGTTGAGGAGGGCGGAAAAAGGTACATTTAACATTCTTTTGGTTATCTAGTAGTTTCCAATCCCTGATTTAAACATTTGACATGGAAGCTCTGGCAACATCTTTTGCATTTGACTTTCTTGTCACTCATCTGATCTTCAACTCTAAATAGTGGACACCTAGTTGTTATGAGACTCTCACAAACACATTTTCCAGCATCATGTTGCCAAATTTACCCCTGATTAAAACTAGTTATTTTCTGACAAAATATCATTGTTTTCTCAACAAAGGGGTTAGACCTTTCTAATTAAATTTAACACAATACTAAATGGTATTATAAGTTTTAACAAATTTATATGTTGCTCATTGAATAGATAAATGTACAACTTTCCTGCAGTTATTTGAGCAAGGAACTCTGGACAGATGTTTCCTAGCTCCAAATTAAACACTTTGGAGTAACTTATACAAGTAATTTCAAGGGTGCCTGGGGAGCCTGCCCTATATATGCTCATAGAATTTGAATGTGTCTAACCTTTCTAAGTTAAGATTGTCAAGTTTGTTGATGTTTGTTTTGTTTATATAATTTTCAATAGTTGAATAAAGACAGACTTGGTAAACTAAGGTACTGTTGTGTTCACGGTCGGAGGACTGGGAGAGAAAGAGGGGTAGAAATGAAGATGGCGGATATACGATTGGTGTACGTTGTTATAAGATTGTTATAATGCGAATAAAATAAAAGGAACATAAAAGGTACCTTACCTTTTATGCTAACCCCCGCCTGCCCTTGATTGCTTCCGGTGCCTCTAAGTAATTTCTGGCAGATATACCCATAGCGGCTTTGATGGCAAGTGACAGCAGGAACTTTAAGTTTATCCTTATATTCTATTATTATAAAGTATACAATAACGTACTTGTATTAATTATTATGAAATGAATTTTATTGTGGGAAAAAATTAAACTACAATGTCTACTCTAATATACTAAATTTGAATGTAAACTGAACGCATTTTTAAGGATTTTTAAAATATACATGCACTTCTCATGCCTGGTCGCCATATTGGATATTGTGGCCGCGTATGAGTTGGAGGCCTGATTACGAGGTGCTCTGCCATATCTGAAATAGCCTTCGTCTATGAATGTTATATTATAAATACATATAGAGTTAGTGTTGATTACACATGTCATTAAACATGCAAACTAATTGTAATAATTGCTTAAATAATTAACGTCATGCATTAATCCAGGCCCGACCATTATTACCACTTGTTTTCTTCCTTGTGCACATCTTCGATAGAAGGAACAATATTGATACGATCGATGAGACCTTCTTTGTAAAAACCTTCCAATGCCTTGTAGCGAAAGAAATTCTTGATACGCCAAGGAGACTTTATTCCAGGTACACTTTCCTGAAGCGTCTCTTCGGCTGTCGTAACAATTCGTTGTGGCGCAACGTCGAAGTCGAGCTTGTAGAGGCAGTACATGCAATCAACACGCACGATTCCTCCATCGTTGGACTTGCTAAATGCTATCATTCCATATCTCGCCGAGGAATCACTGGAACTATTATTATACTTTAATTCGATGATTTTATAAGCCCACTCATCTGTCCACCGAATTCCATCCATTTTCTTTCTCGCATCTGCGTCAATCCCTTGATAGGCCTCTCGCATGTGATCAAGGAATTTGGGCACGTCACTAAACTTTATTCCCTTGGCCTCCATTACCTATAAACATTCCGAATATTATATCTGTTCGGTCAGCTTAAATCAAGCTATAATCCAAAACAATTCGGCAATGCGTTGTTTTTCTATCGGATATGATTTGGTGATTTTGCTATGTACGTTATACGTCTATTAATATTGGTTAAAACTTGAGAGAAAATCCAATCTAATACTTGTCTATTATTCCGTGTTCAAACTTATGATATAAACTATTCACAAGGCTCGAAAAAAATGTGAATAATTTGGATTTTAAACAATGCCTTGTTGAAGGTAGTATTTATGAGTCCACTTATTATTAGAAAATGAAAGTGATAACGGAAGGTCACACTCTGCTGGGGATTCATCCACAAACAGACTTCTCTTCCCCACTCTGAATTATCCCAAACAAATATAATCATGATATAACGTGAAATAGATTTCTCTTCATTAAAGGTGACCCAGGGATGGATGCCGGAAAGATGTTGTTGTTGAAACCTGTGTTTCAACGACAGTTTGGAGCGCATGTTGTAAAATGCGGACTGGACGAAAAAGTTATTAAGATTTTCTTCCGTAGTAAACATTAAGACAAATGCAGAGGTTTTTCAGTAAATGAAAATTACAGCTTTTAAGGAATTATTACCTCGCATCCTTCATGCCATTTGTCGAATAATTCTCCTTCAATCTCGCGCTGAACTTCGGTTGCATCGTGTCGGGAAACTTTAACAGAGTATAAGGCGTCTTTCACCTTTATAAGCGCTCGGTTTTCAGTGCCTTCATTGTCCGTCTTGCCCGAATCAACTTGTTTGTCCACCGAGATTTCCTGCATCTGGAATCAAACAAAACCAATATTACAGTATCACAAGGGAGAGAGATTACCTAAATTTTGCCTTCGCGTCTTGGTCTGTTCGGCAAATAAACTTCCTGCTTGCGTTATACTTGCAGATAAGAATAAACGGCATTATATCTATTTAAATATTATAGCAAGTAGCAATCAATACAACTCGTTATAGTGTATTTTATCTCTGTATTTAATTTTCTTAACATAGTGTAATTTTAATATTTTTAACTTACTGTAATTTTTATACACTTATTTGTTCTTATATGCTGTAAAACTCACGCAATTCAGCTTCTGCTGCCAAGTGATTTCTCATTAAATAATCTATCTATCTAAAATTCTTCTCAATTCACCGTTTGGATCATAATGACACACCAAAAATCGTACTTACTTTAGACGGTTGTATTCTTCAACAATTATCTCTTTTCACTCCCTTCCCGGCCGAAGTTAAAAATTAAAATGATTCCAAATAAAGCGAAACAAGTAATTTATTAAAGTGAATCAATTTTCCTGTAACGTCATATCCGGAATTTACGGTGGCCAACAGGTGCAAAACACAAACGCAAATTCAAAACACAAACGCAAATTCAAAAACATAAACGCAAATTTGAAAGCACCGAACACAAATTCAAACAGAAACGCAAATTTCAAAACACAAACGCAAATTTCAAAACACAAACGCAAAACTAACAACATGAACAGCTATCTTTGAAACCAGGAACGGGGAGTCAAGGAACAGGGAACGTGTGTCATTCGATATCAACTTTTTTTGCATAAAAACAGTCAATTTATGATAAAATTAGCCTGTCTCTTGAATTTTGTCGTTGGAATTTTCCCGATTCGGTCTAAAACGTGAAATAATCATATTTGAATAGCCATGCTACTACGAACGCAATATGTTAAATCAATATCAAGTCTAAAATATCGTGAAAATCAAGCGTTATCGGAGTGCTTCTTATCCAGGCGAAATATTGGACCATCACCAAAGCGGTCGTCGCGGTCCTTGTCCTCGCTGTCTAACCAAGGACATGGACATTGGAATGACTGAAATGATTTCTTTTGCTTTCATGCAGTGCAATATCATGTGCAGAATTTCATTGGTCCCTAACTATATGTACTGCTTACTAGAAATTTTCTATGGCATGCTCATCAAGTGCAGTTCATACTTGTTTCACCTTAACACAATGGAGTAGATACTGAAAACCAGGCTAATTTTTGGACCAGGAACTGGTTGCTAACCGCTGCTAATCTTTTTCTTGTTGTTGTTGCTGTAGTTAGGGGCGACGCTCTTTAAAGAAACCCTAAGGCTCTATCATTACTTGTTTGATCGGAATGAAACTTGGCACAATTATTCTAAGCAATATTCCGCATCGATTGACGGAGTTCGAATTTTTACTTTTGACCGTCGAAGCAAGTTACAAGCAATTCTTGACTATATGTGCAGGAAATAATATATACATATCATTAATATTCAGCCTAAATATCATTAATATTCAGCCTATATATCATTAATATTCAGCCTATATATAAGAATACGCAAACGATTGGAAATACATTGCAGTTCAGAAACTCGGAAACGCGTCGTGTGCGCCTGGCTTTAGATGATGCATTTCGAGCGTTGTCAAATTTATTAACAAACTTCAGAACAATTGTTTCAATATATAGAAGAGGCATTCCTGCTCTCCCCCCCCCTATCCCAGGCTGGTAAAAGACAAGAGCGGCAGCTGTCCTGATGTCACCCCAATTCCGCCAACCCTGCTCCGAAGAAATTTTGTACACACGTATAATTTTGATCTGTATAACAACTCATTTTCATTCATTTTTTAAATCATTCTTCCAAGATGCATTTCATGAAGAAAAATCTCGCATGGGTGGGTCCAATGTGTTGTGTAACAATGCTGGAGTGGAATTTGATGAAGATGAAATAACTCGTTCTGATGAAATGATTTCAATTAACGTCGTATGCAAATATTAAGCAATTTTACATTAACATCAGTGGCCCAATTTTGTAGCAGAAATATTTTTTAGACAAGATTTTAATAATGTTGTTCACACGTTTGCTGTCTTTTATCAAACTGATGGATTTGAGAACATTAACACGACAAAATGAGGCTTAAAAAACCAAGTGCCGTAAAAAAGTTTAGAATTCATTAATTATAGAGAAAAACACGAATGCAAATTTAATTTAATATTGATAGCCGACACCCCGCTTGGAAAAAACAAACTTTGTAAAAGTGAAACTTTCAAAAGATTTCAGTCACTATTGCACGTACATTAACGTGGTGTAGGGTTAGGGTTAAGTTAGCAGTGTTTATGTATGAAAACGACCGAACATTAACAGTTCTGGGGCCACCTGGTATATCATCATGGCAGTCTCATGAGTAGGAGTCTTCCGCGTCCATTTTTTGGAGCTAATTTACTGCACCTAGAATTTTATTTTTAGGGGGGTGTTATTAATGGTAGTATGCTGGGGCTTGAATTAATGGGAAAAGGTTCTGGAGGAGATGGTGGTGTTATAATAAACTCCTCGTCCATTGGCGGTATGAGTCCTTTTAAACAAGATCTTAACTCATTTATGACTATTTTAAGACTATACCCAGTCGCTTGTGATGATTGAAAATACTGACGCCAGACGCCGTTTTCCGTGTGATCTCGTGTCAGTTCCAGTGTGTTAGTATGATAGTATATGTAGATTTATTTGCAGGAACGCCTTTTTCCTGCTGAGCTTACCAGCTTGGACAGGAAGGATCCATCGATTGGCAAATTTTTCATTTTTTTACGACTTTTCTAAATGAATATTTTCCTTGTTTTCCGGCTGTGATCCCTAAATCGTACATCCAACCCGAGACTAAACCCGCATGGAGGGTAAACAAAATGCATGTTAACATGAAGTAACTGCATGATTGAAGATGTAGTGTTGAATTTGTAAGATAGTTTCTCGAAAATCTAATATTTAAATACTCTCAACTTTTTACTAGGGGTAACTCTTCTCTTGAAATTTATTCCTGTGTATTCGGCGACAAAGGCAGCGGTCGCTCATTTTTCTCGATGTATTGCATTGGTTCGTATAAACTTTTAAAGTTTCACTTTATACTGTCTGTACATACGACCATAACCTCTTTTGATCAATCTCCGCAAATTAAATTTTCCCAATTATATGTCATAACGATTGCTGACTGACTAATACGCTGATCACTCTTTTAAAATACTTTTAAATAGCTTAGTAAAAGACGTATTTTCTTGCTGTTTAAAGATTCGCGCTGTTTTAGGCCGGGGGCCTGCAGATGAATCATGCGTTACTGAACAATTAATTTTCTCGTAAGCTTATCGAATAATTGAATGCTTAATATTTCAGACAGCGCCGAATGACTATGGTGTGAGAGTGAATTGTATAGCTCCTGCTGCTGTTGAAACAAATATGTTGAACTCGTTTATAAATTCTCTTCGGAGTGGAAAATTAAAAGCCCCGGATGATTATATGCAGCAAATCCCAAAAACTGACGAAGAGTTGCGCAATCGCGCTATTAAGTAAGCTGTTGATTTGCAATATTAATCAACCTGGGTGGTTACGAATTTGTACAAGGATACAAATTATTTATGATTTTCCACTTTCTAGGCCATCTGATATCAGCAAGGAAGTGATGAAACTTATAAGTGATGAGTCGAAGAACGGTCAGGTTCTATTGATAGAAAAGAATCCTCAAGATCAAACTCAGATCAAAGTAGAAAATCTTGATTTCAAGTAATTGAATAGCATAGATTGCAAAACAAGATCAAAATCACACAAGACAAATGAATAATTGTGATAAATGAATAAATGTGTGCAAGTATCTGTGTGGAATAAATGTGTACAAGCCTCTGTATTGGCCCCAGTGTTTACACATATGGTTTACATTATTCCGATTACCCGGAAGCAACATATTATATGACTTATTGACAGCAAAATCCATGCAAAGGATGGCAAAGCTGTAATGCCGTTTTGGATTGGCGTTGTTTGGCGATTACCAATATGTGATACCCCTCACTTTCTGTGACAATCTCAAACACCCTCCCACCGAGTGTCAGGTGACATCACCAGTGATTCCCCCCACTAACTGTAATGCTCTCAATATTGATACACCCTCCCACCAAGAGTGTGGTGCATCACCAGTGATTCCCCCTCACTCCTTGTCACACTCTCAAATCTCAAACACCCTCCCACCTTCTGACATCACCAGTGATAACGGAAAGAGTAGAATATATGGCTAAAATAAAAGCCACATTCCAGATTGCAAACCGTAATGTTCATCTCCAACATTCGTTCCAGGCCCATTTATCGCGCATGAACATGGACCCCATTATTTCAATCAAAAGAAAACAAAGCACTTTTTCCACATTTAATCAATTAAACTATCATTCACTTATTTACTTTTGTAGCATTGTCCATTTAAAAAAAAGTACATGCATTTACTGAACAAAGTAAGTTTACCAATCTTCACTGCTACTTCAATTCTGATCTAACAGTGGCCGAATTAATACGTCAGATGTTCATTTAGTGGCAACTGAGAGAGAATTTACAAATGACACTTGATTGATGAAACCATGATTTTTAAAAGACTCTAAAGCTTTCAATCGACAGAAATTTAAAATTTGTTCCTTTGAAAAATGCTCTAGGTTTCTTTGACGATAACGAACTGTAGTGTTGGTCTCTACGGGTATGAAACCGAAAAGGTTGAATGTTTCTTCTGTCACCACTTTTTCTTGAGCTAAAGTGAAATCAAGCTTGTAACGTGAACAGATTGCATCAAGTGTTCGACCATCGGGACTTTTGACGATGCAAATCATTCCAAATACAACTTCTCCGGCATCGATTTTATCACCAAACGAAAACTCAAAAATTTTGTGAGACCAAGATGGCGCCCATCTAATTGCTTCGATTTTTCTTCTTATATTGCAATGACTTCCTCTGTACTGCATCTCAACCTTTGAAATTAGCTCGTCCAAGTTGTTTGTAGAAATTCGTCTGGCCTCTGTGACGTCACATGTTTCATTCCAGGAAGAAAAGTATTCATTCCTCAATATGCCTTGAACAGCGATAGCGTCATGTTTGCAGACTTTCACTCTGGAAAGGGCGCTTTGCATATTTCCCTGTGCGTTGTTTTCACAGTGCCAGTCGTCACTCAAGACTTCGTGAAAATAATCTGGTTCTCCGGCTGGGTCAACCCCTGCAGTGAGAACATCAATGAAAACAGTTGTAAACCTACATACACATTTTAGTCTTAATTTTCTTACCACAAACATTCGTGATGCTTGAACTTGTTGTTGTCTGTACGTTCCCCATATTTACTGCAAGGAAATTTTAAGGACATTTTTGTTGTTATTTAATCGTAATCAAAGTTGATTAAATATGATGTAAAGTCCGTTCTGCGCATATATACCGCGCATAACAATGTTTGTTTACGTTTGTTATATAATCTTTACTTGACGTATGTGTCGTTTTAATTTTCTTATTTTCTTCTCGTTCTCGCTCGACCGGTTGTGTGATGAATATGCTTATTTTATATTACATCTGAAGAAAATATTATTATATTTTTAAGAAGATGTAAAGCGAAGCTTATAAATAAACCGTTACTTAAAACTTTATATATTTGTAATTGTAGGACAAGCGAGAAAATGTTATTTTCTGGGGTTCGCAGAATAGCAGAAAATTGTTTTTTTCACGGTTCGTGAAACACGTGATAGTTACCATGGCAACGGCGCCATTTAGGTCACGGGGTTTTGACAGTTGCATTCTAGGCTGGCTCTGCTCCAACACACACGAAAATTTTTCAGCTTTTATATTTCTATATTTTTTCTCACTAAACTTATCGTTCAATCCGCCATTCAAAGCAGGCAAAATGAACGAGGAATTGAAAGTAGAACTTCAGAAACAACAAGACTCCATGCTGGAGAAGTTATCCGCCGTCATGGACGCGAAAGTTGGCCAGATGAAACGTGAACTCGAGGAGGTCGCCAAAAAGCACATGACTCGCAAATGACAGAGCTTAAGAGCATGAAGTTCCCGGAGTCGCCATCCTTCAAAAAGAAAGGCCACGAGGTTCAATACAAGCACAACGAGCAGGTCAAGCTTTATATCATCGAAGCAGAGGACGCAGTCAAAGACAAAAAGCTTGATACGTGTTTACAAAAGTTAAACGAAGGTAAGGACCTTATTGAGTCGCGACAAAAGTTAATTCTGCTCGCAGACAAGTCCGAGTACGGGTGGAAACTGTATCAGAATACCTTGACAACGAGCTGGCTGATGACGAGGAAGACGCAAAGAAGATAAAGAAAGCAGAGAAAGAAGCCCAAAGAAAGCTTAGCGAGACAAGAAACGCGAAGAAAACTCGGGGAGTCAGTCGGGGCGGATTTTCATGGTCGCGCCGAGGGTCTTTTTCTAATGGCGGTCGTACCTGGGTATCTCCTCATATGGCGCTACCACCTCAATCGCTTCCGCCGCCAGCTTTCACCAACAACCATCTTTACATTAGCACAATCGAGAAGCGACCAGGTGTTTTTTTCACGTGCGGTAAGGCTGGCCATTGGAGCCGAGAATGCCCTTTAACCACCGGGTTATCAACGGAAGTGCAACAGAGTGGAGGCACAGGAAGAAAGTTAAGTAACAATTTCTCAGATTTTGATTTTATAGAGGAAGACGTAGATTGTTTTTGTAGCGAGATTGGCGAGGTTAGCGATTTTAAGTGCTCACTCTGCACTTGATCAAAACTCCCTCGGCGAGGACGGGGAATTTAGTGAAGGGATCCCCACCCACGTTCGGGTTGGAGACAGACTTAGAGAACATATTTCGGTTTGGGAGGACCTTCAACCCCCTAAGTACGTTCTTAACATCATCAGACATGGGTACATCCTTCCTTTAACAACACTCCCAAAACCCCAAATTTTCCGGAACAACAAATCCGCTTTGGAAAACGAGTCTTTTGTAACCAATGCTATTACCGAATTATTAGCTTGTCAGAGTATAGTTAGGGTGTATATCCCACCGGTAGTCAATAACCCATTGACGGTGGCCACAAACGACAGGGGCAAAAAGCGTTTAGTGTTAGATCTCAGACATATTAACCCACATTTACACAAACTAAAATTTGACGTTGACACTGCAGCACTCCTACTGAACCCAGGAGATTTCTTGTTTACATTTTGACATTAAAAGTGCGTACCATCACATAGAAATTTTCCAAAAGCATCAACCTTACTTAAGTTTTCAATGGGCCGCAATTCTTTATTTTTCGGGTGATGCCTTTTGGGCTTTCCACAGCGCCTCTGGTATTTACTAAACTTCTAAAACCAGTGCTTCGTCACTGGAGGTCCACAGGTATGAGAGTTTGCATGTTCCTGGACGATGGTCTAGGGGGCAGTCCATCGCTCCAGTCTGCCATAGTAGTCTCAGAGAAGGTAAAGAGAGATATGCTTCAGTTAGGGTTCCTTTTCAGTGAAAAAAAAATGTTTCTGGGAACCTGCACAGATTCAAACTTGGCTCGGACACATTTTTAACATGCGCAAGAATCAATTGTTTGTTACAGAAACACGGGTACAGAAATTGGAACAACATTTATCAGACGCATTAGATAGTCCCAAAAAGATAACTGCAAGGCAGTTAGCAGCTGTAGCAGGTCAAATAGTGTCCATGTCACGGGCCATAGGACCAAAAGTTTATCTTTACACACGGCACATTTACTTTGCCATAGAAGCCAGGGAGCACTGGGAATGTTTTTTACCACCCAACCCTGAACTCAAAGCTGAATTGCAATATTGGGCAAACAATATTCGTTCACTCAATAATAAGAACTTGTTTGTCGAACCCCAACAATTTAACACCGTGGTATACTCAGATGCCTCAGAACAAGGGTATGGGGGTTATGCGATCTCCAGCCAACAGAAGTTGGTTTGTCAGGGACTTTGCTCGAGAAGTGAGAGATCAAAAAGCTCCACCTGGCGGGAACTTAAGGCAGTACACATTATGCTGATGATAATAGGAAAGAAATTACTTAACCACAAGGTTCAGTGGTACACTGACAATCAAAACATACCACGTATTTTAGCCCGGGGCAGCAGAAAATCCGAATTACAGAATTTAGTGGAAAACTTTATAACGGTGAGCAAGGAATTTAATGTCCAGGTCTGCCCGGTTTGGGTTCCAAGGGGAAAAAATCAAATAGCGGATTATCTCAGCAAGCTGCCAGATGGTAATGACTGGGGCATACACCCAAATATTTTTAACTGGATCAATTCAATGTGGGGGCAATTTACAGTTCATAGGTTTGCCACTTGTTATAACACCAAATGCGTTCGATTCAATTCGCGGTTTTGGAGTCCCAACTGTGATGGGGTAGATGCCTTCTCCATTAGTTGGTCAGGGGAGAACAATTGGGTGGTACCCCCTCCTAATCAAATCGTCAGGGCGTGGAAACATTTCCAAGTTTGCAGAGCACGAGGCGCTTTAATAATACCTTTATTGCGGGGCTCGACCTTCTGGCCAAGCATATGCCCAGATGGTATTCATTTAGCTAAGTGTGTGACAGCTTGCATGGGCCGGCATCCCAGAATGGAATCATCCGGCTACATTACCACGGGCCGGTTGTATCAAGCCCGTTTAGCTTAAACGGTGGTTAAGTTCAAAATAGAAAGCAAGTCTATCGTTTTATTCAACAAGCAAACTGAATGTTTTTAACCTTAATGCAAAGATACTGTTTACAACTACATATTTAGTGCATAATATTCAAGTTAACTCATTCAAGACAGATGTAAGAGTGTTATTTAATTTTGACTTATCCACCGTTTAAGCTAAACGGGCTTGATACAACCGGCCCCAGGCAGATCCCATAACACCATTTTCAACGGAGATAAACTGCCCTTTAGATTAATCCCACTATACATCGATTGGCAGGTTGGTAAGAAAAGAACATCAGACAAAGGCTTCTGCATGAGCCCCTCCGGCATGTTTACAGAGTGTATGTAGAGGTCAATCAAATGCATTTCAAAGGTATAAAAGCTAAAGCAAATCACAAGCCGTACGTTGATAGATAGGCTACCGGTAGGCCCTCGTTGGTTAAATTAGCCTGCAGACGGTATGCATAAGTTAATAAGTTCATAACAGAAACATTACGGTCCAAAGGTGACCAGATACCCATAGATGGTATTAAATCAGAGAGATTCCCAAATGTGGTTAGGGGTCTCCAACAAACACGTTTAATGTCCACAGGCGACCATTCACCCATCGGCGGTAACAAACTTAGGAAAGTTCTCAAGTACTCAACGTCGTCAGGCGTTGCCAATTAAAAGGCATACTAGAATCACAAACCATAACTTTTGGACAGTACGTGTTCACTCTAATTTTCTACATATTGCAATCACTGCATAAGCATTTTCTTTTTAAAGGTTTAAACTTGTTTGATCAGGGTGTGTGGATGGAGTTAAAACGCAAGACCTCATCTACGGGAGAGACACATCTTTTTGAGTTACTTAAGAAGACAGCTCTGCATGCAAAGGCCGATGGACACATACGTTAGGCTAATCATTAGAAAAAGCAAAACTGACCAATATAGGAAAAGCAATGAGTTGGTTATCAATATGTCAAACAAAATTACCTGCCCAGTACTCAACCTCGAAAAGTATCTTCGAGCTGCGTCCCTAACATTAGACGGCAGCACAAATTTCTTGTTCAGGCCCATAACCCACACTAAAACAGGGGACAAGCTAATCGTCCGCAACATACCTCTCAGTCAGACAAGAGCAAGGGAATCCCTTGTTGGTAGATTGCAAGAGTTTATGGGGTACGCCCACATTTCTTTGAACTCATTCAGGTCAGGCGGTGCTACCAAAGCAGCCGACGCTCAGGTTTCCGACCGATGTTGGAAAAGACATGGTCGATGGAAGTCCGAAACGGCCAAAGACGGTTACGTAGCAGACTCCCTCTCTAATCGTTTACAGGTTTCTAGGGCATTACGGATCTGAATTTCACGACCTGACACTTAGTCTAACTTTATACAATTCTACTCGGGTGCACCTGCCAGCAACCTAATTGATAAGTGTTAATTGTTGTGTTTTTTTCTGTTTAATGTGGGTTGCGGGAATACATGGGTAAACATGTTATTTTCTGGGGTTCGCAGAATAGCAGAAAATTGTTGTTTTCACGGTTCGTGAAACACGTGATAGTTACCATGGCAACGGTGCCATTTAGGTCACGGGGTTTTGACAGTTGCATTCTAGGCTGGCTCTGCTCCAACACACACGAAAAGTTTAGTAAACATAAACTGATTTTTGTTAATCAATCTTACTCCCTCAAGATTGTATCGGTATAGCCTGAATCTGCATTCGCGACGGACCAGGTTTCCCCATAAGGGTTTTTCCTGGTGGGCAGCAGGCTTGTTAGTTTATTTATAAAGGGAATTATATTGTGGGTGTACAAAAGGTTAAATAAAAAGAAGGTATGCGGTGGAGTACTCCACTCGAGTGCAGCATTCTACTCGGGTGCACCTGCCAGCAACCTAATTGACAAGTGTTAATTGTTGTGTTTCTTCTGTTTAATGTGGGGGTTGGGGGAATAGGGTAAACGTAGAGTCTGTGGCGACGACAAATATAGCCTCGCCATTTCGGGTCCTCATACATTAAATAAATTCTTGAAGCATTCCTTTCACAATAATATTGCTTTTTTCTAGCAGCCCTATCTTCATCACTCGCAATTCGAGCCTCTTCGCGTTGCGACATAAAATAAAATAATTGTGCTCCCGAACTGTCCGTTTGTAATACAACGCGCTAATATCGCATATCATTAACATTCCAAAAGTTGCTTCCCCACTGATGGAATGTGTTGCTGCGCGGAATATATGCGCAGAAATGAGACTATGAGACTTTACCTCATCTTTAAATACCGTAGAAAATTGTGTAGTTTGATATCATGAGACTGTAGTTAGCCGATTTCTAAGTATAAGCTTCCAAGAAGAACCCGATTGCCGGATACAACCTCGTCATGTACGGATGTCTGTGCCAGAAAAGTATTTTTTAGCTCGAGGGTATTTACAGACTATTCATTTTACGATATTCTTGGTAAACTGACATGCAAATTAAATTTCTATCATCACGATAACTTTCATATTGGACTTTGTTTACTTTCATATTACAATATGAAAGTGCAAGAATTTAGCCAACAGGATCTCTTTATTTCGTTGTAGTGATTGCATTATCCTGTTGTACTTCATTGCATGCACGTTTTCCTTTAGTTGAATTCTATATTTCTATAACTAAAGCCAGTTTTCTACTAGCGATATTTTTCGCGTGAATCGACATTTTACTTTTGTTCCAGAGCTCTCAACTGCAACCATCTGGAACAAATTGGTCCAATACAAAGGAATAAAGTCGCTTCGTGCGAAAAATATCGCTCGTGGAAAACCGGCTTTAGGAGTGTTTTCTTGGTTACTCTATTTTTGAAGCAATTTCCTTAACGACGTTTCTCGTCTTGTTTATAGACACCATGCAAGAAGAACCTCAGTAAAGCAGATCGTGTGTGTAACGCAAATGCCAGTTGCTTTTGAAACAGAATTATGTGTTGCAAATGTTGCTTTTGAAACAGAATTAATTTACTTACACAATTCCAATTCGAACTGTAAATTTTCACAGGTCACTGAAGTTGCAAATGTTTATCTAATATTTTCAACCACTACGTTTGAATTAGCCCCGCTTTTGATTCTTGTGTGTTGTTAATCGTAATCAAATTTGATTAAATGCCGTAGAAAATTATGCAGTTTCATTATAATGAAACTGTGGTTAGCCGATTTCTAAGTATATGCTTCCAAGAAGAACCACGTATATGAAACAGTTTATAAAAAGTTACACGGTTTGTTCGTCTCTAACTCTAAGGCTATGTGCACACGAGCGTCGTTTTCGAGCGTTTTCAAAATCGTTTTTGTCCATTTTATTGTTTTGACGCCCTGTCCACACGTTCCAAGGAAAAATATGCTTTATCTTATAAGTTAGCTTCAACTTCTATTGTAAATTGACGGTGTTTCAAACCGTTTTGGCATGAAAACGAAAATGAAAACGCTCGAAAACGTTACCGTGTGCACATAGTCTAAGAGTATCACACACTGGTATCACATGCATGGTAACTTCTTGGATGAATAGTTTGTAAACACCCTCGAGCTAAAAAAATACTTTTCCGGCACAGACACACTGTCCATGACCAGGCTGTATGCGGCTATCTTAACGGATTGCTTTACGATATTTTTGGTAAACTGATATGCAAATTAAATTTCTATCATCACTACAACTTTCATATTGGGCTGTTTACTTTCATATTACAATATCAAAGTGCAAGAATTTTATTGCAAGAATTTAGCCAAAAGGATCTCTTTATTTCGCTGTAGTGATTGCATTATCCTGTACTTCAAAATCATCAAAACGGTGAACTGAGAAAGAATTTTAAAGAGATAATGCCGTTTATTATTATCTGCAAGTACAAGGCAAGCATGCAGGAAGTTTATTTGCCGAACACGCCAAGACAATATTTAGGTAATCTCTCTCCCTTGTGATACTGTAATATTGGTTTTGTTTGATTCCAGATGCAGGAAATCTCGGTGGACAAACAAGTTGATTCGGGCAAGACGGACAATGACGGCACTGAAAACCGAGCGCTTGCGAAGGTGAAAGACGGCTTATACTCTGTTAAAGTTTCCCGACACGATGCAACCCAAGTTCAGCGCAAGATTGAAGGAGAATTATTCGACAAATGGCATGAAGGATGCGAGGTAATAATTCCTTAAAAGCTGTAATTTTCCGTTACTGAAAAACCTCTGCATTTGTCTTAATGTTTACTACGGAGGAAAATGTCATAACTTATTCGTCCTGTCCGCATTTTACAACATGCGCTCCAAACTGTCGTTGAAAAACAGGTTTCAACAACAACATCTTTCCGGCGTCCTTGTGTCAACTTTAATGAAAAGAAATCTATTAATGGACGTATAACGTATATAGCAAAATCACCTAATCATATCCGAAAGAAAAACGACGCATTGCCGAACTGTTTTAGATTATAGTTTGATTTAAGCTGACCGAACAGATATAATATTCGGAATGTTTATAGGTAATGGAGGCCAGGGGAGTAGCGTTAAGTGACTTGCCCAACTTCCTTAATCACATGCAAGACGCCTATGAAGGGATTGACGCAGCTATGAGAAAGAAAATGGATGGAATTGAGTGGACAGAGGAGTGGGCTTATAAAGTCGTCGAATTCAAGTATAATAGTTCCAGTGATTCCTCGGCGAGATATGGAATGATAGCATTTGGCAAGTTCAAAGATGGAGGAATCGTGCGTGTTGATTGCATGTACTGCCTCTACAAGCTCGACTTCAACGTTGCGCCTAAACAAATTGTTACCACAAAGGAGCATTCTATTTTGTGCGGGCTTATCAAATGGCAGACAGTCGAAGAGACGCTTCAGGAAAATAAACTTGGAACAGAGTCTCTTGAACATTTGCAGATTTAATTGTAACAATTGCATACATAATTAACGTCATGCATTTATCCACGTCCGACCATTGTTATTCCTTGAGTTTTGCCTTGTTCTCATCTTCAAAATTGATACGATCGATGAGACCTTCTTTGTAAAAACTTTCCATTGCCTTGTAGCGAAAGAAATTCTTGATACGCGATATTAAATCTGTAAATGAATAAATGTGTACAAGCCTCTGTATTGGCCCCAGTGTTTACACATAGTTTACATTATTCCGATTACCCCGGTGCAATTTATGATGACTTATTAACAGCAAAATCCGTGCAAAGGCTGGCGAAGCTGCCTGTACAAAATTAGCCGCAGTTATATGGTTTATTTTTGACTTGCATGATCCCAACACTCAGTAATACACGATGCCAGCTTTAATTTGCTTCTATGATATAAAAGGCGCGCGCTGATTGGCTGCTTTTGGATCTGATAAAAAGCAAGAACCAGACTTCGTTTCCATTTTGCTTTTTTAGTGTTTCACAAGTCCTGGAGCAAAAATAAAATTAAACAGGTATAATCATGGAAACTTTCATAAAGAACACTTTTCCTCCCTGGAAGAAAATTCGTTCTTCTGTATAACGTTTCCATGGTTGGGGAAACAGAATGCATACAAAAAAACATCGCGAACAAGAAATGTTTCCTGGTTTATGTTCCTGGAAACAATGTTGCCTGGTTTACTTAACGCGAGCTGGGTTGCAAAAATAGTAGAAAAAAACACCAGAAGTTAAAACATTTCCACAATATTCAACAAAGATTTAACTAAATCAGAACAGAAAGTGAATTAATTAAGTACAATCATAACATAAGAAAGCGTTCACAAAATGAAATACAACTACATTACTCATTAGCTACACGATACTTATAGGTCGGAATTAACGATATGGTGACCAAAAAGTTAAAAGAAAAAGATGCTAGTGAAAAAATAGAAAACACACCAAGTTCCAAAGTAAATTAAAAATCGTGTGATGCGATAGACTTGCAATTGCATGTGATTTAAACAAATGCAATCTCGCCTTTTTTCCACAAGATTAGTCTAATTTAGTTGATGAAATATCTCTGCCCCTGGTCACGTGTTAAACATGCACATATAATTTTTGCAGCATTACTGCCATGTGTAGTAGCGTCGGATAAAACTCGGTATAGTTGACAAAAGTTATGTAAATATCAACATATTCTGTGTCTTACTATAAACATATTCTGTGAAGTTCGTCTTTGCAGGTTCCTTGTACTAAGTAATGCGTTCCACTGCATTGCTAAAATGTGAAAATATCTCTTCTTACAAACATTACATTCAAAAGGTTTCGTCATGCGTCAGTGTTCGTTTAGTAAAAACGTTATTGTTTTATTGACCCTGTTAACAGTTGAGGTCTTAAACTGTTTCAGTGAGAATTTTCTCCACACGAATTCAGGTATTTGTAAGGTTTTATCATCACCCACGTCGCGCAATATTGTACGTTTTATTTGTTCTCGTTTGTTTATAGTTTGTCTTTGTTTCATGCAGTTTTTTACGTTTGCATTCCGTAAGGTTTTCTCTCCAGTGTGTGTTCTTTGCTTTTGGTGAATAATCAAATCACGTGTAATCGTTATGAAGATCGTAAAGTTATTTTCGTCGTCTGTTCTTGTGCAAGATTTAATTTGAAAATATTAAATACGTTACATTCATGAGGCTTTAGTCTCCAGTATGTGTTCTTTCGCTTCGTTGGGTGATAATGGACAGTCAGTTGTGTAAGTCCGTTCGTCGAAGTACATGTTGTCTTTTCTTTTAGTTTTTCTACAATTTTTGTTACAAACATCACATCACATCACATTCATAAGGTTTCTCTCCGTCGTCTTGTAGTCCGTCTTATGTTTCTGTTTATAATTACACAGTGTGTATTCAGGGCAACCATGCATGCATGATGTATCTACCAACAACCAGGGAACAACAGATATAATCAAATTTTGGCATGTTCCACCATAAAAAATGCAGCAATAAAATTCGGCTTTTCTTGGCAAATCCTGTTACTAGTCTTTTTACTCTATGCATGTTCGAATTTCTGTTGTTATTGACAGATATGTGAATGATAATCCAACCAGAATAAAGTTCAGGAACGACTAATGCGATACCCGGGCAAATGGGAAATGCGATCTTACCGCGGAATATTCACGATACAACTTATTTATTGAGAAGAATAACATGGAACAAGGTGTGTTTCCTAATCACGAAGGTAACACCATATACTTACTAGGCAAAATATACCTCAAAATCCAAACGAAAGATAAAAAATTTAACAAAAAAACGAACACACTATTATACACAAAGTTATCTCGATCAATATAAGTCACATTAAGTCTTGCGACCAGGACAATAATAACTAATCAGGTTAGCAATGGTAATGGTCAACCAAAACTTTCCCTGAGACAAAACAACCAATAGGGCCAAAGCACAACAAAACTTGGCCAATCACGATGAAGAACGGGAGTCATTCATCAGAGCATAGCTGCTCAAAGGTCTTGATACACAATGTCAGTAGCTTCATTAAAATCTTGCTAAGGAATTAAACTATGTATAGTCCACCACACATCAATATTACCTAATCCCGTTGATATCCACCACGGCCACCACGCTGTCCTCTGTTACCACGGAAATTACCACGACCACCTCTATTACCACCACGGAACCCCCCACCACGCTAAATAATACAAAGTTGAACATCAATTACACGGCGTGTAAAAGGTATTAAAAAGTCATGCTGCGATAATCAAGTAAATCCTGTGCAAATTATGCGCTATTAAAGCATCATTTATACCTAGTGGGAGTGTCTTCCTAGGTTTCGGGTAAACAAAATATACGGTTTTCCTCGGTGTCGGTCAATATGTATTAAATACAGAAAAATAAATACATGGATGCACGGAAGTATGGAATTTATTTCGAGTGCTGAGAATGATATCGAACGAGTGAGCACAGCGAATGAGTGTTGATAAAATACTGCATATTATATAACAAATAATAGTATTATGCAATCTCACTTGATTTTGTCCACCGCGAGAGAAGGTACCGCTACCATAATTACCACCACTGTAATTACCACGATTACCACCACGACCCCCTCTTCCCCGGAATCCACCTCGGCCTCTACCCCCCCGGAAACCATCACGATCATCCCTTGGGTTGCTTTCCTCGGAAACACGGAATTGTTCTGAAACTTCGTAAGCTGAAAAATATGAACAATCAACACTGTTGATACTGTAAACTCTGGGATTATGATTCAGATGTTTTCTCATATAATTTTCCATGTTTGTTTAGCTGTTGAAATATTGTACTATAGGGATTGCAGCCAATAGTGTCTCCTTTCAAATACAGAAACATGTTTCCCAGGTGTAATTTTTGTCACGGAAAAACTAGCGTCTCTCCTTAGCTAGGGAATCATGGCACCCGGGAGCTAATTTTAACTGAGAATGTTCACCTGATGCAGAATGACGGTGTCTTATCAACAATTGTTATTTTCGACCATTTTTTTTATTTTACAGCCTCATATACCGTCCTGATATCAACATTTTAATTCAGGTTGATAACACAGTAAGATGTAATCATTGGCTGTTCACAGTAATACATACTACATACATGATTATCATAGATATATTGTTGAGTATTTAGTAATACTACATGCAGGATTATCATAGATATATTGTTGAGTATTTAATAATACTACATACATGATTATCATAAATATATTGTTGAGTATTTAGTAATACTGATTGCAGGATTATCATAGATATATTGTTGAGTGTTTTGTAATACTACATGCAGGATTATCATAGATATATTGTTGAGTATTTAGTAATACTACATGCAGGATTATCGTAGATATTGTTGAGTATTTAGTAATATTACTTGTAGGATTATCATAGATATATTGTTGAGTATTTAGTAATACTACATGCAGGATTATCGTAGATATTATGTTGGTATACCATAATATTACATTACCACACTGAAATGACAATACTCACTAGGTTCATCCCATCCTGCCCCAGTTTCTGTTGGAGCAAAATCAGAATCAAACGTTGTTGCTTGTGGTTGTTGGGGGACATGAGACGCCGATGATGGATAAAATGGTGGAGCATCAGCGTGTATACGAGACTTTGAACTAACTTCTGATTCGCCCAAGAAATTCAAGCCATGTTCATTTGCGGTTAAATCATCTTGTGTGTCCGAAGGCGGAGTTTCAACAGGCGTTGCTTCATTACCGTTTTCAACATCAGGCTGATTATGAGAACATATGATATTAAACACGAAAGAATCATATATTCATGCCAAATGTTCAGTTCTGATTGTTTTAATATGGTAGAATAACATCAGGACTTACCTGTGATTCTTGAACATCTTCCACAGCAGCTGGCTGAGGTACTTCTTCCCTAATAGCATCCACAGGCGTCTCCTCAGGACCCTCATCATCCTTGATATCCTCCTCAGCTGCTTCTTGCTCCTCGTCTTCAGCAGGTTCATCAGACTCTTCTTCATCTTCTTTCACTTCAAAATAACCAGATTCTCGGATGCTGGAAATGGCCTCTGAGAGATTTTTGTCTGAAGTTTTTTTTAAGGAAATTCCACACCAATCCTGAGACTCAAAAATCACGAAGATGTGAAATAACCTGGACTGGGCAGGTTTGAAGTTACATAGAGTATTGTGTGGATATTATATCCAATAATAACTAAATTACTTTTCATAGATGCATCCACGGAGTTAAAAATTTGCAACAGCGTATCTAAGTGATTGCAGCATTCAAACCACAGTAGGTGTTTGGTAAACATGTTCAGTTCTTTCTTTATGAAAGGATACATGTCGTGTCCTGAAATTCTTTGGAAGAAGCCAAGAAGAATTCCGAAAGATGATTACTTGCTGCAACAATTTGTTCATCAATAGGAACATCAGATTCATCATCAGGTGTGATCACTTTATAAAGCTCATCAATCTGCTTTAAAACATTCTCACCTAAAGCCTTATGAAGAGAATATTGCAATTATCATACAACTGTGCTTGTTTAATATTGACTGTAAATCACAAGTAAATATGTTTGCAGTTGTTAGTGATTGAAGAATTGTGTGTGAAAAACCGCACAACAAGCAGAAAGTTTGGTTTACTGTATCATACAGTATAATGAATTAGAAAAGATGATTGCCAAAGCCTCATATACCGTCCTGATATCAGCATTGTTTTAACTCAGGATTAGGAATGTTTGTAATCACAGGCTGGCACAGATGTTGGAAATACACAGACAAGGCAACAATATAGCGAACAGTAGGCCCACTCTAGTAAGAAATTTTTGTAGATTTTTATTCGCATTTTGCCTATTAGCCTATCAGAACTTTAAGATGGCTAACAGCTGCCAGTATCAGTACTGATTATATAAACAGCACAAGTTACACACTGGAGTGCTATATATGGAATATTATATTGAACAGCAAAGTAAAATATACTCTGACCTTTTAAATCAAATTGCTTATCCTGTATATATAATAAGACATATCACTAACTGGCATTAGGACAAAAACATTTCTACATCAGGATTGCCTTCGTCCAGTTCTGGTTATTGGGTTATGTAATATACACTTGCGGCATACATATACAGCTACTGCCAAAACACAAAGACAGGGAGACAAACCTACCACAGCTCCACCACTGCCTTTAATGAAGTCTTCTCTGGCCTCATCAGACAACTGGTTTAACAAATTCTGCAACTCAAGCACATTTTTTATCATAGCCAAGTCTGCATCGCGACGACTTGCTTGTCTTAAGGCTTCTTCTCTCTTTGCTTGCTTCTTCTGGAGTTTTGCATGCTAAATAATTTTAAACCACAAACTAATAATGAAGGTTTACCAATGAGAAACGTTTATCCAGATACTGCAACCTCATGTCCAACTGTGTGAAATGTACAATCAGACACTGTACTGTCTAATGCAGAAAAAACAGCCAGGCAATTGTTACTCTACTTTTTTTTATTAGATTTGTTTTAATATCTAAGATATTGACTTCCCTGAGTCATTTCATAATATAAACTTAGGTATGGCTAATGGCTAAGTCATGAATTAACACCCTTGGTTCAAATATTCTTAGGTTGCTGCATGCATGTATTTTTATAAAAATAAACATGATTAGTCGCTTGATTAATAAAAATACTTTAGTATAACTCATATAAGGATTAGAGTTTCAAAGGGTCTTAAAATCAAGTAGAATTTAACACACTTCAAATTCAAGCCAGGAACAGTTGATAGCTGACAAAAAGCAAGTGTGGTTAATGTGTATATGATGGTAATGCCACGGGAATAGGTGAGGCTGAATTAAGTATAATTTTTGGCACTTCACTCAATGCAGGTAAATATTTGGATTAGGTATGATAGTTGCTAGGCAGTTTCATCAAAGTTTATTAATGTATATACACTTTAAGAATGAGAAAGTAATTATACCTCAAGGGCAAACTGATTGAACTGCTTTTGCAAATCTTTAGCAAACTCCAAATTCAACTCAACAGACGTTAGATTTTGAATAGCTGCCTAAAGAAGAGAATATCTATAGGTCATTCGAAAGATATTTTTACCTCTGCTGTTCAGTAAAAAGAAATTAAAAATGGAGTATATAAAATAATAATATAACTAGTAATAACATATACAACTGCCTAAAATAGACAAAACACTTCTCAACATTTCAACCTGAGGACCTTTGTCAGGATAGTTAGTGTGAAAATAAATAGGGGAGAATACATGTTTTGTTTGGGGCAAAACACATGATAAAAATTGGCCTATAGAAAACAAGAAATCAAAACAAATTGGAACACATTACGCTGCCAAAGCGATGCCTGAATGTGGGCTAAGAATAGTCCACAATGGGGAAAGCCTGATCAGCGACATCATCTTATTTTCATCTCATCATCTAGCATCTCATCATCTTATTTTTATCATTTTTTCTAAACAATGATATCCTCCAATTGATGATCCCTAACGTAAGCCATAGCTGGCAGCTGCACCCCCCTGGATCTACCACCTAGCAGCATGTTCACCAAACAGGGCATCACTTGTAGACATTCAACAATTTGGTTTGGTGTTGAGGAATGGTCATTAGTTCGACAGGTGTGGTACATTTATTCCTGTCTCTTTACACTCTTAAATATGTTCACATTTTACAGACTTCAATAGTAATCCAGTACAATGTAAAGCATGGCCTGACACACAGAAAGTGTTGCATCATGTAAAAGGTTATTCAACATTTTAGTCTAGTACAGATCTATTTTGTATATTGAAATGTAATAAAAATACATTAAATAATAAAAATTTAGAACTGAATTATGCTCCTTTAGGCAGAAATCTTACAAACAGGTATGCCTAAATTTTGATGAAACGAAAAAAATATAGATGCTTATACCTGCTGATCATCGTTTAATTCCTTCCCATCTGATGCAAGTTGTTTGTACGAGTCCAATTTGCCCTAAACAAGAACAGATATTAAAGGTTAGGTTTGGTCTCTCACGAGGAAGTAATAAATGGTGGAAATTGCATTCTTTGGCCACGTGAGGTTAATTTCCTGACAGCCTGCTTTCTGGTTTAGAATGATATAAAAGGTCCTCTCCCCGCTTCTGTCGAAGGAAGGCAAGGCAGTAAATGAAAGTTTTCATTCGTTAATAATACGGGTTTACAGTTTAAAGGCAATAAAACGTCTAATTTACTGTATGTAGATCTCCCGTAAAACTAAGCATGCAAATTTCTTTATATACACTGGTCTAGAGGGCCATAATATTTTATCTCTCTCCCCTTAGGAAACTGCATCACTGTTTATCATCGGTTACAACACGTTTAAATATGATTTACAAAACCAAATCAGTTCAACATAAACTACAATTCAATCCAATATATTCAATGCTTCTTCTACAAACTATGGTTGGCTCGACTGTTTGATTAGCAGAAGTGAAGTCACAACAGTTTACAACTAGTAAACGGTCTTCAGTTAGTTCAATGGATGAGTTAAAGCTACCAAGTGGGAATAAAATAATTTATTAAACATTTACCAAGTCAAACACGGCGAAAGATGAAGTCTACAATGAGCACGCATTACACAATAACCTGAAATTATGTCAGGGTGTTGGTTTGAATAAAAAATATACACACCTTTCTCTTCTCAAGATTCCGTACTTTCTTGTCGATCATCCCGGTCAAGGCTTTAACACTATCCATATTATCGTTTGCACCTTGGTTCGATCTTAATGAAGCTACTGGCATGTTGTGTTCAAGAAAAAAAGTTGTCTTCTCCAATCTCAACTCACGCAATGGCGGTCGAATTCCGAAGTGAAGCAGCAGAAGCACATGTCTTGCGATTACGTCACATCCCTCAAATACGTCACATGCCATGCAACATGCAGTGTCACATGAAATAAAATGTATCACCAATACTACACTGATTACCTTTATAGGAAGATAACAGGCAGCAGCACAAAAACTATAATATATTAATATTTTATAAAACAGCGTCACTGCCATTTACTTCACAATTCTCAGGGAAAGTAGGGTGCAGGGGCGGGGTTCATTTCCCTTTACCGTTTTAATAAATTGAAGTTCAGAATGCATCAGAATTAAAGTGAAGGTAACTATGAGAAAAAGAGCGACACTCTTCGAGGAAAGAAAAAAATAAACAAACAAAAACAGTTGTAATAACGGCAGTAATTAAGCATTTATTTTATAAATATATTAAATTTTGAAGAGATTTTAATGAAACGTCACAGGTAACGTATTTTTTCTTGGTCGAGGTAGTTCTCCAAATATATCTCTGGAATCATGGACACTTCTTGCCAATGCTTGAATGGATTCCGCTATTTTGTCAGGCGAGGGCATCTCTTCCTGCAGGAAATATTCAATAAATAACATTTCAATGTTGCTTACTACATTCAGGGCAGGAGGCTCGAAATTTTGGTAATAGCTACATCTTCTTCAGTTAATCCTAAATACACAAATTCTTGAAATTCGTTTAGGAATATATTTTTGGAATCAATCTAATCTAACACCAATTGGTCACCCTAATCTGAAGTTCTTTGTTATTCCTGGGCAGGGAGAGGGTCAATACGCCATATGAATAATACTAATAAACATGTCTTGAACGAAACAACAACACAGGCCTCTATAGAATAAAAATCTTGCGTTATCCCGGGCCTGACCCTACCGTGTCGACATAAAACAAAATTGGAAAGATACAAAACGTGTACATGGGATTGTCTAAAACCAGCGAAAATAGACAGTAGCGTTGCGAATAAAATATTCCAGATTCTAAACACGTCCTGAAATCTGACTTAAGTAGATGTTCTTAGCTGTAGAGTTCTGACTGTAGAGTTCTGACTGTAGAGTTCTGACTGTAGAGTTCTGACGGTAGAGTTCTGACTGTAGAGTTCTGACTGTAGAGTTCTGACGGTAGAGTTCTGACTGTGGAGTTCTGACTGTAGAGTTCTGACTATAGAGTTCTGACTATAAAGTTCTGACTATAGAGTTCTGACTGTAGAGTTCTGACTGTAGAGTTCTGACTATAGAGTTTTGACTGTAGAGTTCTGACTATAAAGTTCTGACTATAGAGTTCTGACTGTAGAGTTCTGACTGTAGAGTTCTGACTGTAGAGTTCTGACTATAGAGTTCTGACTGTAGAGTTCTGACTGTAGAGTTCTGACTGTAGAGTTCTGACTATAGAGTTCTGACTATAGAGTTCTGACTTTCTAACTATAGAGTTCTGACTGTAGAGTTCTGACTATAGAGTTCTAACTATAGAGTTCTGACTATAGAGTTCTAACTATAGAGTTCTGACTATAGAGTTCTGACTATAGAGTTCTTACTGTAGAGTTCTAACTATAGAGTTCTGACTTTCTAACTATAGAGTTCTGACTATAGAGTTCTGACTATAGAGTTCTAACTATAGAGTTCTGACTATAGAGTTCTGACTATAGAGTTCTGACTATAGAGTTCTAACTATAGAGTTCTGACTTTCTAACTATAGAGTTCTGACTGTAGAGTTCTGACTATAGAGTTCTGACTGTAGATTTCTGACTATAGAGTTCTGACTGTAGAGTTCTGACTATAGAGTTCTGACTGTAGAGTTCTGACTGTAGAGTTCTCACTATAGAGTTCTGACTATAGAGTTCTGACTATAGAGTTCTGACTATAGAGTTCTGACTATAGAGTTTTGACTGTAGAGTTCTGACTGTAGAGTTCTGACTGTAGAGTTCTGACTATAGAGTTCTAACTATAGAGTTCTGACTGTAGAGTTCTGACTATAGAGTTCTGACAGTAGAGTTCTGACTGTAGAGTTCTGACTGTAGAGTCCTGACTGTAGAGTTGTGACTGTAGAGTTGTGACTATAGAGTTCTGACTGTAGAGTTCTGACTATAGAGCTCTGACTATAGAGTTCTGACTGTAGAGTTCTGACTATAGAGTTCTGACTATAGAGTTCTGACTGTAGAGTTCTGACTGTAGAGTTCTGACTGTAGAGTTCTGACTATGGAGTTCTGACTATAGAGTTCTGACTATAGAGTTTTGACTGTAGAGTTCTGACTGTAGAGTTCTGACTGTAGAGTTCTGACTATAGAGTTCCTACTATAGAGTTCTGACTGTAGAGTTCTGACTATAGAGTTCTGACTGTAGAGTTCTGACTACAGAGTTCTGACTGTAGAGTTCTGACTATAGAGTTCTGACTGTAGAGTTCTGACCGTAGAGTTCTGACTGTAGAGTTCTGACTATAGAGTTCTGACTATAGAGTTCTGACTATAGAGTTCTGACTATAGAGTTCTGACTATAGAGTTTTGACTGTAGAGTTCTGACTGTAGAGTTCTGACTGTAGAGTTCTGACTATAGAGTTCTAACTATAGAGTTCTGACTGTAGAGTTCTGACTATAGAGTTCTGACTGTAGAGTTCTGACTATAGAGTTCTGACTGTAGAGTTCTGACTGTAGAGTTCTGACTGTAGAGTTCTGACTGTAGAGTTGTGACTGTAGAGTTGTGACTGTAGAGTTGTGACTATAGAGTTCTGACTGTAGAGTTCTGACTATAGAGTTCTGACTGTAGAGTTCTGACTATAGAGTTCTGACTGTAGAGTTCTGACTGTAGAGTTCTGACTGTAGAGTTCTGACTATAGAGTTCTAACTATAGAGTTCTGACTGTAGAGTTCTGACTGTACAGTTCTGACTATAGAGTTCTGACAATAGAGTTCTGACTGTAGAGTTCTGACTATTGAGTTCTGACTGTAGAGTTCTGACTATAGAGTTCTGACTGTAGAGTTCTGACTATAGAGTTCTAACTATAGAGTTCTGACTTTCTAACTATAGAGTTCTGACTATAGAGTTCTGACTATAGAGTTCTAACTATAGAGTTCTGACTATAGAGTTCTGACTATAGAGTTCTGACTATAGAGTTCTAACTATAGAGTTCTGACTTTCTAACTATAGAGTTCTGACTGTAGAGTTCTGACTATAGAGTTCTGACTGTAGATTTCTGACTATAGAGTTCTGACTGTAGAGTTCTGACTATAGAGTTCTGACTGTAGAGTTCTGACTGTAGAGTTCTCACTATAGAGTTCTGACTATAGAGTTCTGACTATAGAGTTCTGACTATAGAGTTCTGACTATAGAGTTTTGACTGTAGAGTTCTGACTGTAGAGTTCTGACTGTAGAGTTCTGACTATAGAGTTCTAACTATAGAGTTCTGACTGTAGAGTTCTGACTATAGAGTTCTGACAGTAGAGTTCTGACTGTAGAGTTCTGACTGTAGAGTCCTGACTGTAGAGTTGTGACTGTAGAGTTGTGACTATAGAGTTCTGACTGTAGAGTTCTGACTATAGAGCTCTGACTATAGAGTTCTGACTGTAGAGTTCTGACTATAGAGTTCTGACTATAGAGTTCTGACTGTAGAGTTCTGACTGTAGAGTTCTGACTGTAGAGTTCTGACTATGGAGTTCTGACTATAGAGTTCTGACTATAGAGTTTTGACTGTAGAGTTCTGACTGTAGAGTTCTGACTGTAGAGTTCTGACTATAGAGTTCTTACTATAGAGTTCTGACTGTAGAGTTCTGACTATAGAGTTCTGACTGTAGAGTTCTGACTACAGAGTTCTGACTGTAGAGTTCTGACTATAGAGTTCTGACTGTAGAGTTCTGACCGTAGAGTTCTGACTGTAGAGTTCTGACTATAGAGTTCTGACTATAGAGTTCTGACTATAGAGTTCTGACTATAGAGTTCTGACTATAGAGTTTTGACTGTAGAGTTCTGACTGTAGAGTTCTGACTGTAGAGTTCTGACTATAGAGTTCTAACTATAGAGTTCTGACTGTAGAGTTCTGACTATAGAGTTCTGACTGTAGAGTTCTGACTATAGAGTTCTGACTGTAGAGTTCTGACTGTAGAGTTCTGACTGTAGAGTTCTGACTGTAGAGTTGTGACTGTAGAGTTGTGACTGTAGAGTTGTGACTATAGAGTTCTGACTGTAGAGTTCTGACTATAGAGTTCTGACTGTAGAGTTCTGACTATAGAGTTCTGACTGTAGAGTTCTGACTGTAGAGTTCTGACTGTAGAGTTCTGACTATAGAGTTCTAACTATAGAGTTCTGACTGTAGAGTTCTGACTGTACAGTTCTGACTATAGAGTTCTGACAATAGAGTTCTGACTGTAGAGTTCTGACTATTGAGTTCTGACTGTAGAGTTCTGACTATAGAGTTCTGACTGTAGAGTTCTGACTATAGAGTTCTAACTATAGAGTTCTGACTGTAGAGTTCTGACTATAGAGTTCTGACTGTAGAGTTCTGACTGTAGAGTTCTGACTGTAGAGTTCTGACTATGGAGTTCTGACTATAGAGTTCTGACTATAGAGTTTTGACTGTAGAGTTCTGACTGTAGAGTTCTGACTGTAGAGTTCTGACTATAGAGTTCTAACTATAGAGTTCTGACTGTAGAGTTCTGACTATAGAGTTCTGACTGTAGAGTTCTGACTATAGAGTTCTGACTGTAGAGTTCTGACTATAGATTTCTGACTGTAGAGTTCTGACTGTAGAGTTCTGACTGTAGAGTTGTGACTGTAGAGTTGTGACTATAGAGTTCTGACTGTAGAGTTCTGACTATAGAGTTCTGACTATAGAGTTCTGACTGTAGAGTTCTGATTATAGAGTTCTGACTGTAGAGTTCTGACTATAGAGTTCTGACTGTAGAGTTCTGACTATAGAGTTCTAACTATAGAGTTCTGACTGTAGAGTTCTGACTATAGAGTTCTGACTGTAGAGTTCTGACTGTAGAGTTCTGACTATAGAGTTCTGACTATAGAGTTCTGACTGTAGAGTTCTGACTATAGAGTTCTGACTGTAGAGTTCTGACTATAGAGTTCTGACTGTAGAGTTCTGACTATAGAGTTCTAACTATAGAGTTCTGACTGTAGAGTTCTGACTGTAGAGTTCTGACTATGGAGTTCTGACTATAGAGTTCTGACTATAGAGTTTTGACTGTAGAGTTCTGACTGTAGAGTTCTGACTGTAGAGTTCTGACTATAGAGTTCTAACTATAGAGTTCTGACTGTAGAGTTCTGACTATAGAGTTCTGACTGTAGAGTTCTGACTATAGAGTTCTGACTGTAGAGTTGTGACTGTAGAGTTGTGACTATAGAGTTCTGACTGTAGAGTTCTGACTATAGAGTTCTGACTGTAGAGTTCTGACTATAGAGTTCTGACTGTAGAGTTCTGACTGTAGAGTTCTGACTATAGAGTTCTGACTGTAGAGTTCTGACTATAGAGTTCTGACTGTAGAGTTCTGACTATAGAGTTCTAACTATAGAGTTCTGACTGTAGAGTTCTGACTATAGAGTTCTGACTGTAGAGTTCTGACTATAGAGTTCTGACTGTAGAGTTCTGACTATAGAGTTCTAACTATAGTTCTGACTGTAGAGTTCTGACTATAGAGTTCTGACTGCAGAGTTCTGACTGTAGAGTTCTGACTGTAGAGTTCTGACTGTAGAGTTGTGACTGTAGAGTTGTGACTATAGAGTTCTGACTGTAGAGTTCTGACTATAGAGTTCTGACTGTAGAGTTCTGACTATAGAGTTCTGACTGTAAAGTTCTGACTGTAGAGTTCTGACTATAGAGTTCTGACTGTAGAGTTCTGACTATAGAGTTCTGACTGTAGAGTTCTGACTATAGAGTTCTAACTATAGAGTTCTGACTGTAGAGTTCTGACTATAGAGTTCTGACTATAGAGTTCTGACTGTAGAGTTCTGACTGTAGAGTTCTGACTGTAGAGTTCTGACTGTAGAGTTCTGACTCCCAAAGAAGAGGAAAGTTGGTTAATGTTATATCTCGAAACATTTCTGCATGATGCTTGAAATTCAACATTTTCAACTAACTTTTTCAACTTTCTATTTACAAGTAACAAACGTACGATAAACTTACGTAGTCTTCATTGTGCAGTAATCTTTCCCTCAGCCCAAATCTAGATCTGTCCATTAACGGGACATTGACGGGTACCGACGATGAATATCGCATCTTGTTTGTAGATTTCTCGTAAACCTCCTGCATATCTGTTTGATTGAAGCTGTTATCTATCATATTGAAAAAATGATTTAGTTATGAACAGCGAAAACACAGCGTACCTCGTGTATTGTGTAGTTCAGCACAGGGGCCGAAGCAGAGGAACAGAATTCCTCGTGTACGTATGTGCAAAATATAGCCTTTCATGTGATGCAGGTGCAGGAAAACTGATTTGTACACAATCAATTTGTACACATTTCTTCAAGCTCACGCCATGCAGGAGCGCACGGTAAGCAGTATCTATGCGGCAATGTATACTTTGTAAAGACATACCACTGGATTCTTCATCAGACTCGACAAACGGTTGGAAATGTTCATTTGTACTATGAAACAATGGATCAAGATGACCATTGTCTATTTCATTCGATTTTTCTCTGCTGTTCCAAGACGTACTAATGCTAGGTGTTTGAACTATCCTAATATCTGATGAACTATCCACGAAATCTAAAAGAAATAAAAATTTAAATACTGAAAGGTTTGAATTTAAGAAATATTTGCCATACTCCTCATTTCGTATAATCTCAAACAAAGTCAAGCAAATTATTAACATTTTCACCGGAGTTGGATGTAAAAGAAATGTGCTAGGTTTCAAAATAAGCTCGTGGTTAGAGAAAAGTTAAAGAGAAATTTCTCACCAGTTCTATTGAGAGGTCTTTCATCTGGCACATCAGAATCAAGTTCTAGATCAGCCATTGCATCTGATAAACTTTCCTGAACCTTACTCTCAGCAGCTTGTCTTAAAATGCTGTAAAAAACACGATGTGCATTAGGAAAAAACAATCCATAAGTACAGGAACGTGCTTTCCAACCATATCAAGAAACCCTTGAAAAAATCAGGCGACTGGTGTAAGCTTACGTTAGAAAACCATTACATCTACTCAGATGTACGCAAAAAAATTCGATTTATCCCACGCTAACCGTAAGTGTCTGAAACTGGAACAACCCTAACCTAAGAAATTGAAACATGCAGAACGCTAACCTAAGATATTGAAACAACGCTAACCTAAGAAATTGAAACAGAACGCTAACCTAAGATATTGAAACAGAACGCTAACCTAAGATATTGAAACAACGCTAACCTAAGAAATTGAAACAGAACGCTAACCTAAGAAATTGAAACAGAACGCTAACCTAAGATATTGAAACAGAACGCTAACCTAAGAAATTGAAACAGAACGCTAACCTAAGAAATTGAAACAGAACGCTAACCTAAGAAATTGAAACAGAACGCTAACCTAAGAATTGAAACAGAACGCTAACCTAAGATATTGAAACAGAACGCTAACCTATAAGAAATTGAAATGGAATACTAGCGCTCTTTTTCAAATCCTTAGGTTAGCGTTCTGTTTCAATATCTTAGGTTAGCGTTCTGTTTTAATATCTTAGGTTAGCGTTCTGTTTCAATTTCTTAGGTTAGCGTTCTGTTTCAATATCTTAGGTTAGCGTTCTGTTTCAATTTCTTAGGTTGGCGTTCTGTTTCAATTTCTTAGGTTAGCGTTCTGTTTTAATTTCTTAGGTTAGCGTTCTGTTTCAATTTCTTAGGTTAGCGTTCTGTTTCAAGTTCTTAGGTTAGCGTTCTGTTTCAATTTCTTAGGTTAGCGTTCTGTTTCAATTTCTTAGGTTAGCGTTCTGTTTCAATTTCTTAGGTTAGCGTTCTGTTTCAATTTCTTAGGTTAGCGTTCTGTTTCAATTTCTTAGGTTAGCGTTCTGTTTCAATTTCTTAGGTTAGCGTTCTGTTTCAATTTCTTAGGTTAGTGTTCTGTTTCAATTTCTTAGGTTAGCGTTCTGTTTCAATTTCTTAGGTTAGCGTTCTGTTTCAATTTCTTAGGTTAGCGTTCTGTTTCAATTTCTTAGGTTAGCGTTCTGTTTCAATTTCTTAGGTTAGCGTTCTGTTTCAATTTCTTAGGTTGGCGTTCTGTTCCAATTTCTTAGGTTAGCGTTCTGTTTCAATATCTTAGGTTAGCGTTCTTTTTCAATATCTTAGGTTAGCGTTCTGTTTCAATTTCTTACGTTAACGTTCTGTTTCAATATCTTAGGTTAGCGTTCTGTTTTAATATCTTAGGTTAGCGTTCTGTTTCAATTTCTTAGGTTAGCGTTCTGTTTCAATATCTTAGGTTAGCGTTCTGTTTCAATTTCTTAGGTTAGCGTTCTGTTTCAATTTCTTAGGTTAGCGTTCTGTTTCAATTTCTTAGGTTAGCGTTCTGTTCCAATTTCTTAGGTTAGCGTTCTGTTTCAATTTCTTAGGTTAGCGTTCTGTTTCAATTTCTTAGGTTAGCGTTCTGTTCCAATTTCTTAGGTTAGCGTTCTGTTTCAATATCTTAGGTTAGCGTTCTGTTTCAATATCTTAGGTTAGCGTTCTGTTTCAATATCTTAGATTAGTGTTCTGTTTCAATTTTTAAGGTTAGCGTTCTGTTTCAATATCTTAGGTTAGCGTTCTGTTTCAATTTCTTAGGTTAGCGTTCTGTTTCAATTTCTTAGGTTAGCGTTCTGTTTCAATTTCTTAGGTTAGCGTTCTGTTCCAATTTCTTAGGTTAGCGTTCTGTTTCAATATCTTAGGTTAGCGTTCTGTTTCAATTTCTTAGGTTAGCGTTCTGTTTCAATTTCTTAGGTTAGCGTTCTGTTTCAATATCTTAGGTTAGCGTTCTCTTTCAATTTCTTAGGTTAGCGTTCTGTTTCAATTTCTTAGGTTAGCGTTCTGTTTCAATTTCTTAGGTTAGCGTTCTGTTTCAATTTCTTAGGTTAGCGTTCTGTTCCAATTTCTTAGGTTAGCGTTCTGTTTCAATTTCTTAGGTTAGCGTTCTGTTTCAATTTCTTAGGTTAGCGTTCTGTTCCAATTTCTTAGGTTAGCGTTCTGTTTCAATATCTTAGGTTAGCGTTCTGTTTCAATATCTTAGGTTAGCGTTCTGTTTCAATATCTTAGGTTAGTTCTGTTTCAATTTTTAAGGTTAGCGTTCTGTTTCAATATCTTAGGTTAGCGTTCTGTTTCAATTTCTTAGGTTAGCGTTCTGTTTCAATTTCTTAGGTTAGCGTTCTGTTTCAATTTCTTAGGTTAGCGTTCTGTTCCAATTTCTTAGGTTAGCGTTCTGTTTCAATATCTTAGGTTAGCGTTCTGCTTCAATTTCTTAGGTTAGCGTTCTGTTTCAATTTCTTAGGTTAGCGTTCTGTTTCAATTTCTTAGGTTAGCGTTCTGTTCCAATTTCTTAGGTTAGCGTTCTGTTTCAATATCTTAGGTTAGCGTTCTGTTTCAATATCTTAGGTTAGCGTTCTTTTTCAATTTCTTAGGTTAGCGTTCTGTTTCAATATCTTAGGTTAGCGTTCTGTTTCAATATCTTAGGTTAGCGTTCTGTTTCAATATCTTAGGTTAGCGTTCTGTTTCAATTTCTTAGGTTAGCGTTCTGTTTCAATATCTTAGGTTAGCGTTCTGTTTCAATATCTTAGGTTAGCGTTCTGTTTCAATTCTTAGGTTAGCGTTCTGTTTCAATTTCTTAGGTTATATAGCGTTCTGTTTCAATTTCTTAGGTTAGCGTTCTGTTTCAATTTCTTAGGTTAGCGTTCTGTTCCAATTTCTTAGGTTAGCGTTCTGTTTCAATATCTTAGGTTAGCGTTCTGTTTCAATATCTTACGTTAGTGTTCTGTTTCAATTTTTAAGGTTAGCGTTCTGTTTCAATATCTTAGGTTAGCGTTCTGTTTCAATATCTTAGGTTAGCGTTCTGTTTCAATTTCTTAGGTTAGCGTTCTGTTTCAATTTCTTAGGTTAGCGTTCTGTTTCAATTTCTTAGGTTAGCGTTCTGTTTCAATTTCTTAGGTTAGCGTTCTGTTTCAATATCTTAGGTTAGCGTTCTGTTTCAATATCTTAGGTTAGTGTTCTGTTTCAATTTTTAAGGTTAGCGTTCTGTTTCAATATGTTAGGTTAGCGTTCTGTTTCAATATCTTAGGTTAGCGTTCTGTTTCAATTTCTTAGGTTAGCGTTCTGTTTCAATATCTTAGGTTAGCGTTCTGTTTCAATTTCTTAGGTTAGCGTTCTGTTTCAATTTCTTAGGTTAGCGTTCTGTTTCAATTTCTTAGGTTAGCGTTCTGTTTCAATTTCTTAGGTTAGCGTTCTGTTTCAATTTCTTAGGTTAGCGTTCTGTTTCAATTTCTTAGGTTAGCGTTCTGTTTCAATATCTTAGGTTAGCGTTCTGTTTCAATTTCTTAGGTTAGCGTTCTGTTTCAATTTCTTAGATTAGCGTTCTGTTTCAATTTCTTAGGTTAGCGTTCTGTTTTAATTTCTTAGGTTAGCGTTCTGTTTCAATTTCTTAGGTTAGCGTTCTGTTTCAATATCTTAGGTTAGCGTTCTGTTTCAATTTCTTAGGTTAGCGTTCTGTATCAATTTCTTAGGTTAGCGTTCTGTTTCAATATCTTAGGTTAGCGTTCTGCTTCAATATCTTAGGTTAGCGTTCTGTTTCAATTTCTTAGGTTAGCGTTGTGTTTCAATTTCTTAGGTTAGCGTTCTGTTTCAATTTCTTAGGTTAGCGTTCTGTTTCAATTCTTAGGTTAGCGTTCTGTTTCAATATCTTAGGTTAGCGTTCTGTTTCAATATCTTAGGTTAGCGTTCTGTTTCAATTTCTTAGGTTAGCGTTTTTTTTCAATATCTTAGGTTAGCGTTCTGTTTCAACTTCTTAGGTTAGCGTTCTGTTTCAATTTCTTAGGTTAGCGTTCTGTTTCAATATCTTAGGTTAGTGTTCTGTTTCAATATCTTAGGTTAGCGTTCTGTTTCAATATCTTAGGTTAGCGTTGTGTTTCAATTCTTAGGTTAGCGTTCTGTTTCAATATCTTAGGTTAGCGTTCTGTTTCAATTTCTTAGGTTAGCGTTCTGTTTCAATTTCTTAGGTTAGCGTTCTGTTTCAATTTCTTAGGTTAGCGTTCTGTTTCAATTTCTTAGGTTAGCGTTCTGTTTCAATTTCTTAGGTTAGCGTTCTGTTTTATACGTCAGCGTTCTGTTTCAATATCTTACGTCAGCGTTCTGTTTGAATATCTTAGGTTAGTGTTCTGTTTCAATATCTTACGTTAGCGTTCTGTTTCTTTTAGGTTTTTGTTTCTTGGTTAGCGTTCTGTTTTAGGTTAGTGTTTGTTTCAATATCTTACGTGCGTTCTGTTCAATATTTAGGTTAGCGTTCTGTTTCAATATCTTACGTCAGCGTTCTGTTTCAATATCTTAGGTTAGCGTTCTGTTTCAATATCTTAGGTTAGTGTTCTGTTTCAATTTCTTAGGTTAGCGTTCTGTTTCAAATTCTTAGGTTAGCGTTCTGTTTCAATTTCTTAGGTTAGCGTTCTGTTTCAATTTCTTAGGTTAGCGTTCTGTTTCAATATCTTACGTCAGCGTTCTGTTTCAATATCTTAGGTTAGCGTTCTGTTTCAATTTCTTAGGTTAGCGTTCTGTTTCAATTTCTTAGGTTAGCGTTCTGTTTCAATATCTTAGGTTAGCGTTCTGTTTCAATTTCTTAGGTTAGCGTTCTGTTTCAATTTCTTAGGTTAGCGTTCTGTTTCAATTTCTTAGGTTAGCGTTCTGTTTCAATATCTTAGGTTAGCGTTCTGTTTCAATTTCTTAGGTTAGCGTTCTGTTTCAATTTCTTAGGTTAGCGTTCTGTTTCAATATCTTAGGTTAGTGTTCTGTTTCAATTTTTAACGTTAGCGTTCTGTTTCAATATCTTAGGTTAGCGTTCTGTTTCAATTTCTTAGGTTAGCGTTCTGTTTCAATATCTTAGGTTAGCGTTCTGTTTCAATATCTTACGTCAGCGTTCTGTTTCAATATCTTAGGTTAGCGTTCTGTTTCAATATCTTAGGTTAGCGTTCTGTTTCAATTCCTTAGGTTAGCGTTCTGTTTCAATTTCTTAGGTTAGCGTTCTGTTTGAAATCTTTAGGTTAGCGTTCTGTTTCAATATCTTAGGTTAGCGTTCTGTTTCAATTTCTTAGGTTAGCGTTCTGTTTGAAATCTTTAGGTTAGCGTTCTGTTTCAATTTCTTAGGTTAGCGTTCTGTTTGAAATCTTTAGGTTAGCGTTCTGTTTCAATTTCTTACGTTAGCGTTCTGTTTCAATATCTTAGGTTAGCGTTCTGTTTCAATATCTTAGGTTAGCGTTCTGTTTCAATTTCTTAGGTTAGCGTTCTGTTTCAATATCTTAGGTTAGCGTTCTGTTTCAATTTCTTAGGTTAGTGTTCTGTTTCAATATCTTAGGTTAGCGTTCTGTTTGAAATCTTTAGGTTAGCGTTCTGTTTCAATATCTTAGGTTACCGTTCTGTTTCAATTTCTTACGTTAGCGTTCTGTTTCAATATCTTAGGTTAGCGTTCTGTTTCAATTTCTTAGGTTAGCGTTCTGTTTCAATTTTTAGGTTAGCGTTCTGTTTCAATTTCTTACGTTAGTGTTCTGTTTCAATATCTTAGGTTAGCGTTCTGTTTCAATTTCTTAGGTTAGCGTTCTGTTTCAATTTCTTAGGTTAGCGTTCTGTTTCAATTTCTTACGTTAGTGTTCTGTTTCAATATCTTAGGTTAGCGTTCTGTTTCAATATCTTAGGTTAGCGTTCTGTTTCAATATCTTAGGTTAGCGTTCTGTTTCAATTTCTTAGGTTAGCGTTCTGTTTCAATTTCTTACGTTAGCGTTCTGTTTCAATTTCTTACGTTAGCGTTCTGTTTCAATTTCTTAGGTTAGCGTTCTGTTTCAATTTCTTACGTTAGCGTTCTGTTTCAATTTCTTAGGTTAGCGTTCTGTTTCAATATCTTAGGTTAGCGTTCTGTTTCAATATCTTAGGTTAGCGTTCTGTTTCAATTTCTTAGGTTAGTGTTCTGTTTCAATATCTTAGGTTAGCGTTCTGTTTCAATATCTTAGGTTAGCGTTCTGTTTCAATTTCTTAGGTTAGCGTTCTGTTTCAATTTCTTAGGTTAGCGTTCTGTTTCAATTTCTTACGTTAGTGTTCTGTTTCAATATCTTAGGTTAGCGTTCTGTTTCAATTTCTTAGGTTAGCGTTCTGTTTCAATTCTTAGGTTAGCGTTCTGTTTCAATTTCTTACGTTAGTGTTCTGTTTCAATATCTTAGGTTAGCGTTCTGTTTCAATATCTTAGGTTAGCGTTCTGTTTCAATATCTTAGGTTAGCGTTCTGTTTCAATTTCTTACGTTAGTGTTCTGTTTCAATATCTTAGGTTAGCGTTCTGTTTCAATATCTTAGGTTAGCGTTCTGTTTCAATATCTTAGGTTAGCGTTCTGTTTCAATATCTTAGGTTAGCGTTCTGTTTCAATTTCTTAGGTTAGCGTTCTGTTTCAATTTCTTACGTTAGCGTTCTGTTTCAATATCTTAGGTTAGCGTTCTGTTTCAATTTCTTAGGTTAGCGTTCTGTTTCAATTTCTTACGTTAGTGTTCTGTTTCAATATCTTAGGTTAGCGTTCTGTTTCAATTTCTTAGGTTAGCGTTCTGTTTCAATTTCTTAGGTTAGCGTTCTGTTTCAATTTCTTACGTTAGTGTTCTGTTTCAATATCTTAGGTTAGCGTTCTGTTTCAATATCTTAGGTTAGCGTTCTGTTTCAATTTCTTAGGTTAGCGTTCTGTTTCAATTTCTTACGTTAGTGTTCTGTTTCAATATCTTAGGTTAGCGTTCTGTTTCAATTTCTTAGGTTAGCGTTCTGTTTCAATTTCTTAGGTTAGCGTTCTGTTTCAATTTCTTACGTTAGTGTTCTGTTTCAATATCTTAGGTTAGCGTTCTGTTTCAATATCTTAGGTTAGCGTTCTGTTTCAATATCTTAGGTTAGCGTTCTGTTTCAATTTCTTACGTTAGTGTTCTGTTTCAATATCTTAGGTTAGCGTTCTGTTTCAATATCTTAGGTTAGCGTTCTGTTTCAATATCTTAGGTTAGCGTTCTGTTTCAATATCTTAGGTTAGCGTTCTGTTTCAATTTCTTAGGTTAGCGTTCTGTTTCAATTCTTACGTTAGCGTTCTGTTTCAATATCTTAGGTTAGCGTTCTGTTTCAATTTCTTAGGTTAGCGTTCTGTTTCAATTTCTTACGTTAGTGTTCTGTTTCAATATCTTAGGTTAGCGTTCTGTTTCAATTTCTTAGGTTAGCGTTCTGTTTCAATTCTTAGGTTAGCGTTCTGTTTCAATTTCTTACGTTAGTGTTCTGTTTCAATATCTTAGGTTAGCGTTCTGTTTCAATATCTTAGGTTAGCGTTCTGTTTCAATATCTTAGGTTAGCGTTCTGTTTCAATTTCTTACGTTAGTGTTCTGTTTCAATATCTTAGGTTAGCGTTCTGTTTCAATATCTTAGGTTAGCGTTCTGTTTCAATTTCTTACGTTAGCGTTCTGTTTCAATTTCTTAGGTTAGCGTTCTGTTTCAATTTCTTACGTTAGCGTTCTGTTTCAATTTCTTAGGTTAGCGTTCTGTTTCAATTTCTTAGGTTAGCGTTCTGTTTCAATTTCTTACGTTAGTGTTCTGTTTCAATATCTTAGGTTAGCGTTCTGTTTCAATATCTTAGGTTAGCGTTCTGTTTCAATATCTTAGGTTAGCGTTCTGTTTCAATTTCTTACGTTAGTGTTCTGTTTCAATATCTTAGGTTAGCGTTCTGTTTCAATATCTTAGGTTAGCGTTCTGTTTCAATTTCTTACGTTAGCGTTCTGTTTCAATTTCTTAGGTTAGCGTTCTGTTTCAATTTCTTACGTTAGCGTTCTGTTTCAATTTCTTAGGTTAGCGTTCTGTTTCAATTTCTTAGGTTAGCGTTCTGTTTCAATTTCTTACGTTAGTGTTCTGTTTCAATATCTTAGGTTAGCGTTCTGTTTCAATATCTTAGGTTAGCGTTCTGTTTCAATATCTTAGGTTAGCGTTCTGTTTCAATTTCTTAGGTTAGCGTTCTGTTTCAATTTCTTAGGTTAGCGTTCTGTTTCAATATCTTAGGTTAGCGTTCTGTTTCAATTTCTTAGGTTAGCGTTCTGTTTGAATATCTTAGGTTAGCGTTCTGTTTCAATTTCTTACGTTAGTGTTCTGTTTCAATTTCTTAGGTTAGCGTTCTGTTTCAATTTCTTAGGTTAGTGTTCTGTTTCAATATCTTAGGTTAGCGTTTTGTTTCAATTCCTTAGGTTAGCGTTCTGTTTCAATTTCTTAGGTTAGCGTTCTGTTTCAATATCTTAGGTTAGCGTTCTGTTTCAATTTCTTAGGTTAGTGTTCTGTTTCAATATCTTAGGTTAGCGTTCAGTTTGAAATCTTTAGGTTAGCGTTCTGTTTCAATATCTTAGGTTAGCGTTCTGTTTCAATATCTTAGGTTAGCGTTCTGTTTCAATTTCTTACGTTAGCGTTCTGTTTCAATATCTTACGTCAGCGTTCTGTTTCAATATCTTAGGTTAGCGTTCTGTTTCAATTTCTTAGGTTAGCGTTCTGTTTCAATTTCTTAGGTTAGCGTTCTGTTTCAATATCTTAGGTTAGCGTTCTGTTCAATATCTTAGGTTAGCGTTCTGTTTCAATTTCTTAGGTTAGCGTTCTGTTTCAATTTCTAGGTTAGCGTTCTGTTTCAATTTCTTACGTTAGCGTTCTGTTTCAATATCTTAGGTTAGCGTTCTGTTTCAATTTCTTACGTTAGCGTTCTGTTTCAATATCTTAGGTTAGCGTTCTGTTTCAATATCTTAGGTTAGCGTTCTGTTTCAATTTCTTAGGTTAGCGTTCTGTTTCAATTTCTTAGGTTAGCGTTCTGTTTCAATTTCTTAGGTTGGCGTTCTGTTTCAATTTCTTAGGTTAGCGTTCTGTTTCAATTTCTTACGTTAGCGTTCTGTTTCAATATCTTAGGTTAGCGTTCTGTTTCAATTTCTTAGGTTAGCGTTCTGTTTCAATTTCTTAGGTTAGCGTTCTATTTCAATTTCTTAGGTTAGCGTTCTGTTTCAATTTCTTAGGTTAGCGTTCTATTTCAATTTCTTAGGTTAGCGTTCTGTTTCAATTTCTTAGGTTAGCGTTCTGTTTTCAATTTCTTAGGTTAGCGTTCTGTTTCAATTTCTTAGGTTAGCGTTCTATTTCAATTTCTTAGGTTAGCGTTCTGTTTCAATTTCTTAGGTTAGCGTTCTGCTTCAATATCTTTCTAAACAGAACGCTAAGCTAGGAAACTAAAACAGAACGCTAACTTTAGATATTGAACTGGAATGCTAACCTAAGAGTTAAAACTGAACGGAATGCTAACTAACCTAAGAGTTTAAAAAGAAACACTTCTCGACGGAGGGAGCTAAGGGCATTGGTCAGGAATGTTGTTTCAGGTAAACTTGCTTTCTATGGTAATTTATACCTTAAAACAGCTCTTTTATCGTTATGAGCCCGGGATTGTACTGCAGCATAACGTTTTTTCTGTTCTTCGGTATATTTTCGTATTCTTTCCAACATGGCGTCTTCTTCAAATTTTAGAAATCTCCTGACATGTTCCTGTATTTTCGTTCCAGCTTTAGTTATACTTTCACTGCTGAAACCACTTCCTAAAACAAATTAATTAGATAACATTAGAGCCTTTTACACTAGAATACAGTGTATCAAAACAACCCGAGTAATCCAAATTGTGTATGATTTTCTGGGCAACTTACAGTTTTAACTAACTTACAGGGTACTAAAAAATATAGATCAGGTTTTTAGCAATGTTCTGGTTTCAGTTGAATACAGACATTGAAAAGGTTGAGATTTTCAAACTTATGCATATAAAGCACAATTATAGCTATATTTGAATTGAGGCGTCGTCAAAGCAAGTCTCGGTCCAATGCCAGCAGAGCAACCTGTACTAATGAATGAAAGAATATAACTAGCAAGAGATTATCATTTAAGGATTTTTAGTTTCATTGTCAATACTCAAAAAGCACGACAAATCTCCCAAAAAAACAAAACACTTTTGCAATGAGACCGCTGATATTTGATGTTTGCATGAAGGCTCGATTGTCATGATCAGAGCCACTATAAGATGCTTCAGCTTGCTACATCTAATATTCATCTGCAAATTGGGAAATTTGTGAAAAGAGGTTTAATATATCTTTTCTCAAGTGCCCTAAGTTCTCACTGGAGACAAACAGTTTAAATTTGATTTCTCTAATTTATAACTCATATTTGCCCATATTTTCTCCTTATAATGTGAAAAATGAAGTAATTCAAACAAAATAGTAATAAAATATTGCACCTGAACTTTCCTCTTCTTCACTTGCTGGTTTTAATATGATTTTAAAAGCAGGAGACAAATTTTCACTTTTCATTAACACAGTGATATTTTCTACATCACTCTACAAACAAATTAGATGAAAAATGCATGTTGAGTCTTGCTCATACTGAAATTACAGGAACCACTTGGGACATATCTTGATAAAATAAAGAACAATAGAAACCACACAAGTAAGCATTTTCAATTTTTCAACAATGGCAATTATTATTATTATTATTATTATTTTATTGCTATTGTTGTATTGTCGTAGCTATATTTTGACCTTACTTGTTTGTTTATCATTTAATGAAGCTGACAAAACATTTAAGAGCAATAATGGATGATTTACCTGAATCTTTGAGCTGACTAAAACTCGTTGTTCCCGTTTAAATGAATGTAAGGCAAATGCTTCAGTTTTACAGCCTAAACATTTGAACACAATCCAGTCCTCAATTTGACGTTCTCTCATCAATATCGCATTCTCCTATGGATTAGAAATGAAAGTTGCAATCAATGCACTTCAAATTTGAAAAGTTTTTAGTTCATAATGAGGTTAAACACAAAAGTCTGATGATACACAAAGTCTGATTAGTTTAAACCTCATTAGTTTTGAAGAGCTAATTTGACTTTATTTTGACATTTTTATGAGAAAGGTGTATTGTTCCTGCCCATTTATGTATGTAATGATAACATCTTTGGTATAATCTTTCTAAGGTACATGTTGCAGAGAATTTCCATGATATTAGCCAAATTTTGTGTATATGCAGGCACTAAATGAATGTTTTACACATATAGAACACTGAAATTGTTGTTAAATACAGTAAAACTGATACTTAACACATGCTAGTATACAGTCATACATCTACAATTATACAAAACCTAAAAAATATAATATCAGTAATATGGTAGCCTTTTCTTTGTCAAAATGATAACACTTTGTCCCTACGTATTTGTTATGCATGATATTATAATCAGGTGATATTTTTTTAAAAAAATTCAGGCCTTGTTACATAGTGCAATTTTTCTAGCAACTTGCAATCACACTTGTAAGAGATGAAAATTAGTAAAGCATCTTTAAAATGTTAGTGTAAGAAACATTTCATGAAGTAACAAACACAAAAAGTTTCCTGGATGTTAAATTTACATCTCTGAAAAGTAGAAAAAAATCTTCAGGATCTTGGCATACAGTATAATATCTATGGTACATATCTGGCCCAGCTAGAATTCAAGATCCTCCAAATCCACTCCTAAAATTTACCCTTAAATTGTCCTAAACTAAAACAATAGTCATGGAATAATATATGTCCAGGCAAACATCCTGCTTTTTAACAAAACAATAGTCTTAAAATGACATATGTCCAGGCAAAATTCTATCTTCTTAGCCAGCTAATGATTCTTGCCAAACAATATAATCTCAGATGTCAAAGCAAACATCTTTTCTTAGCCACCTAATTTACTCTTGACAAACAATAGTCCCACCAAAATGACCTACAGACAGGTAAAAATCCTACCTAAGGATTTAACCTTATAATAATTTTGATTGCTAAACAAAGTAGTCCAGTGTAAATATGTCAAGGAGGAAATCCTATCTCAGCAGTTAGCCACCTGTTGTACATGTACTCTTGACAAAAACAATGGTCCCAGAATGACCTTTGTGCAGACACAAATCCTATTTTAGCAACCTAATAATTATTTTGACAAAATAGTAATCTCAGAACAAAATTTCAAGGCGTATATGATACATTCCTATGTTATAAACTATCAAGGCAGACATCCTATGTTATAAACTATCAAGGCAGACATCCTATGTTAACTTCAAGGCAGACATCCTATGTTATAAACTATCAAGGCAGGCATATGTCAACTATCAAGGCTTTGTTAACTATCCATTGTGTTCCTGACAAAACAGAACTTGTTTACATTTGTACAAAAATTTGCAATGTTGCAAAAGTCTAGCACAGCACAATAATAATAAACACCAGTCAGACAAATTTGGCAAAAGACATCTTCACAATATATCAGAAATATATTTCATACCAAATTATATTATAATTCAGGACTCAGGTAATATAATATCCCTAATAATATGTCCTAATATCCGACATACCGTATTGGGTCTGAATTTCATATTGATGATAATAAATATAGGGTTACATAAGCCATCTACGCAATATGTAAATGAAAACATTCGCAATACTTTTTACGCTTGCTGCTTGCTTTTACATTCAAACACTGCAAAGTTAAAACCCAGAATTGAACGCAGTACATACAGTACTCGGGACTGTAGCACAACAAAATCTCTGAAATATAAACAAATCTTTTATTTGCCCAGTTTCCGGACAGCATAATTTTTCGCATCATTCAATTCGAGAAGGTCTGAGAGCCTGAAAATTCAAATATTTACAGGCTTCAAACGTTTTTCCTCAACAAATTATAGTATAGCATTGTCTCTCAGCCATGTAAATGATAATGGTGTATTATTCCGTGATAACGATTAGTCCATAATACCTTGTTGATTCCGCCAACTGCAAGTTGTACTTCGTAAATTTCTCCCGTAAAGAAATCATCTGTTATGTTGCCTGTTATAAAAGATTCGCCATTCAGCTTCTTCAGGTCGCTTCCTTGAGTATTTATACAAATATTTAGACATTTACAAAATAATTTCACCATTTTTCTGCACGAAACTTGCACTAAACGGTGTACGTTTCTCTACAAGCGACAAGGAATATCTCTCACTGGTCATTGACATATGATAGTCTCGTGACAAGTTCAATGCTTGCATCAGCCAACCAATCACATGAGAGGAAGCTATCAAGAAGTCAGAGGGGTCACGAGAATGTGACAATGCTGGATGATATATCCTATGACTATGAATCGTTGTTTCAAGAGGTCACGTATTTGACCAAATATTTCACTACGATATTAAAGCGGAAGTCTGTTCTCGGCCCATTTTATAGAATTCTAAAAAATCATTTTAAAAAATTGAACATTGCACATTCGCAGGACACGTACTCGGTACCCATTTTTTTTTTAAATGTTCACAGATTTAGGGCTACTAAGTACTATGGGACTATGCGACTATGCACATATACGGCAATCGTCTCTGTACATATCGCCCCACCAAGAGTAGATGTGTACCAACTCTTTGGTTTCGGTCGAAAAGAGTTTTTGACTGTAAATAATGCAATATTCATTAAAAAAATTGTGGCTAATCAATACTATCTGAAAACTAAATAAACTGCAATCTATACACCGAAAAAAAAATTCTAAAATTATTTCTCGTTTCAAAAAATTACTCGTTCAATGCCAAACGGCACCAAAAATTTTAGACACGCAAGCATTTGCTTGTAAGTTATACGCCTTGTCTTTCTCTATATCAAAGACTGTCCCAAAACGTGACACACTGTTCTTAAATTTTCTACACGTGCACCTCAAAAACCGGGGCTTTAATTTGGGCGGAAACTGCTTGTACTGTTAATTGTCAATCTTAATTGTTAATTGTTAATGTTAATTGTTACTGTTAATTCTATGTATATATAAATTAATATAATATTATTCATGGTAGAAGAAAAAACATAGCCTTAAGGCAAAGAATAACATGTTGGTATGGCATTTGTTTCTATAGTATTTAATACAGTATGGTTTGTTTTAGTCTTAACTCTTAACGCTTTATTTAATTAATGATCTTGATCTTGAAGACAAAAACGTTACACAATCGAGTTATTGCCTGCTATAATTAGATTGTTACGTAATTAAATTGTAATTGAATGGAGCCGAATATATACTACCAGTACTAATAAGGATAGAAGGTTGCCTACAGTTCAATCATCTTCTAACATAGTGCACGAAACCATGAATAGTGATTTCACCACACAAAAATAATACCAATGCAGAAGAAGAAAAATCTCTTTCGGCCGTCTGGTCGAAGCTCAATTTCGATGCCCAAGTCGCAAAACTTTTGTTTTGGGTTGGCGACTGGTTTCTGCTTCATTTCCTCGTCGAGATCTTCGTTCAATTTTCTGGAAATGTAGTGCTTTGGAAGTCGTTTCTCCATTTCTCTTCGTTCTGCTTTCTCGTTCACACACAAGATCGTTTTAGAATACCTGATGAATTTCTTACGCCGCACAACACCGTTTTCTTCCACCTTGGAGTATCTGTAGCTTTTTGAGAAACCAATTTCTTCCAATTTGGCATCTTTTAGTTCTTGCTCTACTTTGGATTCCTTTTTGGGAACAGCAGAGTTGTCGACGTCTGTGAGTGTAATCACTTCCTTCTCCTCTACCTTTGCCTCTGAAAGAAAAAATATAATAATACGGTGGTGAGAAATAGAGAATGTTTGTTTAAACATGTTCTGTATATATGTTACTATATGTAATATTGTAACAATGGCACAGGCCTTCGGGTTCTTGTGTCCCTGGACCCTGATCTCATTACAGCCACAGTTGCTTTGAATTGTTGAACTGACCGCACTTACAGACCTGCACGTCCATATATTATACTAAAATTACACGTCGATATTATACTGCGGATTAATGGTAATCAATGCGAGTGCATGTAATGTCTCGCTTAGTTTAAAGTTCGGCTGTCAGTATAACATACGCCATTTCCACGCATGCAGATAAAAATTGTAAGGGTGCATGTGCAAGCGTCGCAGTTGCCTAGTGCACTGTTCATATCAGAAAAACAAAATTATTTGCATTCATCGATAATTATTGTGAATAGAACTAAAACTATATTATCAGCTGATTAAAATATATGGGACTGAAGCCAAACATTGCGAAAATGGTGAATATTTCCCAATTTTCAACTCGGATTTTCACTTCAACCCACAACAAAATACACACAGCCACCGCGTCAACCTCTTCAGTTTCGTTCATCATGCTAGACGTGATCACATTCATTAATATCACGATCAATCACGCAGTAACGTAGTAAGGTGTACTTATCGTGTCAGCTACATGTTGCATGTTCAAAAGGTGTGTGAAAAAATAAAAAAAGCGATAATTAGGTATTGAAAATACTTACTTTCCTTGTTTTTGAACAGTTATCATATCACCGGGCGATATTCAGCATTATATTTAGCTGATATATATATATATATATATATATATATATATATATATATATATATATATATATATATATATACGCAAACTTGCTGTCACATGCAGGAAGAACTAATTCCATTATATTGGCAACACTTACTACAAATTAAGGCTCTTGAGTAACGAAGGACCCAAATTTGATCACCATCAAAATAATATATATCTAATCTTTCCAATTTTAAAATTGCATGCCCAAACTTCGCAATAATTGTAGCATAATTCTAGTTAGTGATTTTAATCTGTCCATGCGAAATGCGAATTATCTTTTACCTTTCTCTGACCGGCGAAAGCGATTTTCGACTTTGAAACTGCTCCCCAAAGCAACAGAAAGTGCCAAAATGACCACAGTAACCAACGTTTTCTTCATTTTTAAGTTTCAAATCTATATTTTGGTAAATGTGAAAAGATGACGAAACAATTTTACTCTAGCTATATATTTTTTTAGAATACATAACTTAATGATATTTGAAAGTCAACCATGCACGCGATGAACCCTAAAGAAACTATAAACATTGTCAAATCAAAATCAAGGTATTTCCAAAGAAGTTAACGTAAAATTTACTTTGAAATATTTCATGTAAAATGAATAAGCAAATTTGAGAGACGTGAACTTTTAGTACTTACTTTCTGGGGACTGATATATCTTTGTGTCAACGAGCTTTTAACCAATTGTTCTTTTTCCCGTTTTTTTCTTCTGCTGTTTCTTCGGCTCTGATGCTGTGATAAATGATATCAACTGAAGATGTCGCAAGCGTTTTTATAAACAACAATAACAAGAACGATACAAGATTTCTTGTTATAGTTATATAACAGCCGAATAGTATTATTAATAATACAATTGAATTATATAACAGACGAATAGACTAATACTTATTCATATATAGTATATATATTCATGCTCTGCTTTATCAATTTCTTTGGAAATGTATTGTCTTTACAGTCACTTCACAGATATTAATATTGCCCCCCCGCCCTTATCGATGTTAACTACACCACTGGTTTTAAACAATGTTATACAGACAGTTTGGCTGTATACTTATAATTGCTCAGCAGGTTAAGAAAAGTTTCTTCAATACAGTCACGTACACTTTAGATTGTCCATTGTCACGGTGCTGTTAATCAATCCTGCTTTAAATTTTTACTTCTAGAGCGTCTATATCTGCTCTAATAGAGTGTTCATTCCGCAAATGGTGAAAACATACGTTTTGAGTAAATTAAAAACTACAGTACAGCCGTTCCAGCCGAAAAGTAATCCAAATAATTATACGAAGGACAATAAATAACGATGATTTATATGATCTAACTTGCAATCAATGCCTGCTATTTTTGTCACATTCTTCATAATTCTTCTTACGAATTACCAATTCATATATTAATTTTGATACAACTAATTTATTAGTATTTAAAAATTTGTTACACGCATGCCGTAACATGGATTAAGCTCTATTCATTTCACAAGTACCTAAGAATATTCGCGGCCGATCTGTAAGGGATTTACAAACGCCAATGGCTCGTGGTATACTCACGGCTCGCCATTGTAAAATACCAAAACAGATCCGCCGTATTTTAACTAGCACTTATCATGCATAACGAAAGCCAGAATAATTTATCGTATGATTGTGTCTTTATATGTTTAGAAATTTTCAAAGTTATTTCAAAGAGGTGTGAACTCAGTTTTAGGGTCTGTTCTTAGATACAGCCCGGTAAACGGGATAAACATGTCCTACACTTTTATATGAGTGCATTTCATCCCGCTTGCTGGGATAGAGATTATTTACAACGCCTTTATTGGCTTTGCGTTTAAAGTTCATATGCATGACATTAATATCAGCATCTATTAAACTTCGTTGCCACCGTTTGTTCATTTTTAATCATGTCGTGTTCAAAACTATAAAAAGAAACGCTGAGAAACATCAAAAATTATAAAAATTGGTTCTATCTCGGCAACCGGGCCAGCCCGCTTAGGGTGTTTATATGAAAATATTTTCATCCCGCAATACACGAGATCTCGCCTCTTTCGAGCGGGATGTCCAACCGCTTGTCCATATAAACGCTCTGAAGTTTTTATTAGGAAATGTATTCGTGGATCTTGATCGTTAGTCGGTCTAAGTATAAACAGCCCCTTAGGCTTAGCAGGCACAATGTTTAATACATAACCTTGATATTCAATAATGAGGATTAGAGAAATCTGATATATAGCTACATGCCTATGTGGGAAAAGATTACCTGCTGCACGTGTTTGAGTATATTCAAGAAATGTATTGTCTTTACAGTCACTTCACAGATATTAATATTGTCCCCCCGCCCTTATCGATGTTAGCTACACCACTGGTTTTAAACAATGTTATACAGACAGTTTGGCTGTATACTTATAATTGCTCGGCAGGTTAAGAAAAGTTTCTTCAATACAGTCACGTACACTTTAGATTGTCCATTGTCACGGTGCTGTTAATCAATCCTGCTTTAAATTTTTACTTCTAGAGCGTATATATCTAATATAATAAAGTGTTCATTCCGCAAATGGTGAAACCATACGTTTTGAGTAAATTTAAAACTACAGTACAGCCGTTCCGGCCGAACAGTAATCCAAATAATTATATATACGTATAACTTGCAATCAATGCGCAGTATTTTGGTAACATTCTCCATAAAAGAAAAAATCGTAGATGTGCAACCAGGATTAAACATATTTGAAATATAGAACGTTCTCTGGTTGAAATAATTTATTACAAGCTTTCGGCTATCAGTCTATAGCCTTCAACGGGTAAAAAATATAAATTCAAAGAAGGACGCTAAATGTAATTGATTTTGAGAAAGCGAAGGTGATTGACAAAAGGAGAGTTCCGCATTCGGAAAACTTTAGAGTCATGGCATACAGCTTTATCCGATCAAGCTGACAATAATTCTAAGCCACTTCCAGGAGTTTCATGTTTCACTGTTAGCGTCCTTCTTTGAATTTATATTTTCTACCCGTTGAAGGTTATAGACTGATAGCCGAAAGCTTGTAATAAATTTTAATATTTCAACCAGAGAACGTTCTATATTTCAATTCTTCATAAAGGTCTTACGAGTTACTAATTCATATACTAATAATACTATAAAGTACTTATCATGCATAACGAAAGCCAGAATAATTTATGGTATAATTGTGTCTTTATATTACCATATCGTCTTTATAGTCATTGTATTTTATATCTACCCGTTGAAGGCTGCAGTCTGGCAGCCGAAAGCTCGTAAACAATAAATATTTTCAACCAGAGAACGTCTCAAGAAATCAATGTGTCTTTATATGTTTCGAAATTTTCAAAGTTATTTTAAACAGGGATGAACTCAGTTTAGGTAAACAAACTACGTTGAAACCGTTTGTTCATTTTTAATCATGTCGTGTTTAAAACTATAAAAAGAAACACTGAGAAACATCAAAAATTATAAAAATTGGTTCTATATCGGCAACCGGGCCAGCCCGCTTGGGGTGTTTATATGAAAATATTTTCATCCCGCAATACACGAGATCTCGCCTCTTTCGAGCGGGATGTCCAACCGCTTGTCCATATAAACGCTCAGAAGTTTTTATTAGGAAATGTATTCGCATGGATCTTGATCGTTAGTCGGTTTAAGTATAAACAGCCCCTTAGGCTTAGCAGGCACAACGTTTAATACATAACCTTGATATTTATAATGAAGATTAGAGAAATCTGATATATAGCTACATGCCTATGTGGGAAAAGATTACCTGCTGCATGTGTTTGAGTATATTCAAGAAATGTATTGTCTTTACAGTCACTTCACAGATATTAATATTGTCCCCCCGCCCTTATCGATGTTAGCTACATGCACCACTGGTTTTAAACAATGTTATACAGACAGTTTGGCTGTATATACTTATAATTGCTCGGCAGGTTAAGAAAAGTTTCTTCAATACAGTCACGTACACTTTACTAGATTGTCCATTGTCACGGTGCTGTTAATCAATCCTGCTTTAAATTTTTACTTCTAGAGCGTATATATCTAATATAATAAAGTGTTCATTCCGCAAATGGTGAAACCATACGTTTTGAGTAAATTTAAAACTACAGTACAGCCGTTTCGGCCGAACAGTAATCCAAATAATTATATATACGTATAACTTGCAATCAATGCGCAGTATTTTGGTAACATTCTCCATAAAAGAAAAAATCGTAGATGTGCAACCAGGATTAAACATATTTGAAATATAGAACGTTCTCTGGTTGAAATAATTTATTACAAGCTTTCGGCTATCAGTCTATAGCCTTCAACGGGTAGAAAATATAAATTCAAAGAGGGACGCTAAATGTAATTGATTTTGAGAAAGCGAAGGTGATTGACAAAGGAGAGTTCCGCAGTCGGAAAACTTTAGAGTCATGGCATACAGCTTTATCAGATCAAGCTGACAATAATTCTAAGCCACTTCCAGGACAATATACTATGCTCACTAAAAAACACTAAAATTTACATATTTCATGCTATTCCTTGTATATATCATATAACCTTTCATACTGTAGTTAGACTCACATGTAGTTTCATGTTTCACTGTTAGCGTCCTTCTTTGAATTTATATTTTCTACCCGTTGAAGGCTATAGACTGATAACCGAAAGCTTGTAATAAATTTTAATATTTCAACCAGAGAACGTTCTATATTTCAATTCTTCATAAAGGTCTTACGAGTTACTAATTCATATACTAATAATACTATAAAGTATACTTATTATGCATAACGAAAGCCAGAATAATTTATCGTATAATTGTGTCTTTATATTACCATATCGTCTTTATAGTCATTGTATTTTATATCTACCCGTTGAAGGCTGCAGTCTGGCAGCCGAAAGCTCGTAAACAATAAATATTTTCAACCAGAGAACGTCTCAAGAAATCAATGTGTCTTTATATGTTTCGAAATTTTCAAAGTTATTTTAAACAGGGATGAACTCAGTTTAGGGTCTGTTTATATTGGAGCCGGGCTGGCTCGGTCAGCTAGACAGCCCGCGGTAAACAGGATAAACTTCTCCTGTATTTATATGAGTGCATTTCATCCCGCTTGCTGGGATAGAGATTATTTACAACGCCTTTATTGGCTTTGCGTTTAAAGGTCATATGACATTAATATCAGCATCTATTAAACTACGTTGCCACCGTTTGTTCATTTTTAATCATGTCGTGTTTAAAACTATAAAAAGAAACGCTGAGAAACATCAAAAATTATAAAAATTGGTTCTATCTCGGCACCGGGCCAGCCCGCTTGGGATGTTTATATGAAAATATTTTCATCCCGCAATACACGAGATCTCGCCTCTTTCGAGCGGGATGTCCAACCGCTTGTCCATATAAACGCTCAGAAGTTTTTATTAGGAAATGTATTCGTGGATCTTGATCGTTAGTCGGTCTAAGTATAAACAGCCCCTTAGGCTTAGCAGGCACAATGTTTAATACATAACCTTGATATTCAATAATGAGGATTAGAGAAATCTGATATATAGCTACATGCCTATGTGGGAAAAGATTACCCTGCTGCACGTGTTTGAGTATATTCAAGAAATGTATTGTCTTTACAGTCACTTCACAGATATTAATATTGTCCTCCCGCCCTTATCGATGTTAGCTACACCACTGGTTTTAAACAATGTTGTTTTTGTTGCCAACGCAAGTCAGCGAGGTCACGAGAATGTGACAATGCTGGATGATATATCCTATGGCTATGAATCGTTGTTTCATGAGGTCACGTATTTGACCAAATATTCCACTACGATATTAAAGCGGAAGTCTGTTCTCGGCTCATTTTATAGAATTCTTAAAAATCATTTTAAAAATTGAATATTGCACATTCGCAGGACACGTACTCGGTACCCATGTTTTTTTTTAAATGTTCACAGATCTTGGGTTACTAAGCAGTATGGGACTATGCGACTATATATGCACATATTCGGCAATCGTCTATGTACATATCGCCCCACCAAGAGTAGATGTGTACCAACTCTTTGGTTTCGGCCGAAAAGAGTTTTTGACTGTAAATAATGCAATATTCATTAAAAAAATTGTGGCTAATCAATACTATCTGAAAACTAACTAAACTACAATCTATAAACCGAAAAAAAACTTCTAAAATTATTTCCCGTTTCAAAAACTTACTCGTTCAATGCCAAACGCCACCAAAAATTTTAAACACGCACGCATTCAGTGCTTGTAAATTATACGACTTGTCTTTTCCTGTATGAAAGCCTGTCCCAGAACGTACGTTAGACTTAGACACTATTCCTAAATAATTTTTTACACGTCCACCCCAAAACGGGGGCTTTATTTGGGCGAAAACTGCTTTTACTGTTAATTGTTAATATTACTCATGCAATGCATGGTGACAAGAGAAAACATAGCCTGTAGAAGCCTATCAGCGAAGAATAACATCTTGGTATGGTATTTGTTTGTATAGTATTTAATACAGTATGGTTTGTTTTAGTCTTAACGCTTTATTTAATTAATGATCTTGATCTTAAAGACAAAAACGTTACACAATCGAGTTATTGCCTACTAGAATTAAATTGTTACCAGTATTATATGATAAGGATAGAAGGTTTCCTATAGTTCAATCATCTTCTAACATAGCACACGAAACCAGGAATAGTAATTTCACCACAGAAAGTGAACATGAATACAGAAGAAGAAGAATCTCTTTCGTCCGTTTGGTCGAAGCTCAATTTCGATGCCCAAGTCGCAAAACTTTTGTTTTGGGTTGGCGACTGGTTTTTTCTTCATTTCCTTGTCGAGATCTTTGTTCAATTTTCTGGAAATGTAGTGTTTTGGAAGTCGTTTCTCCATTTCTCTTCGTTCTGCTTTCTCGTTCACACACAAGATCGTTTTAGAATACCTGATAAATTTCTTACGCCGCACAACGCCATTTTCTTTCACCTTGGAGTATCTGTAGCTTTTTGAGAAACCAATTTCTTCCAATTTGGCATCTTTTAGTTCTTGCTCTACTTTGGATTCCTTTTTGGGAACAGCAGAGTTGTCGACGTCTGTGAGTGTAATCACTTCCTTCTCCTCTACCTTTGCCTCTGAAAGAAAAAATATAATAATACGGTCGTGAGAAATAGAGAATGTTTGTTTAAATATATCTACATATATGTTACTATATGTAATCATATATATTGTAAGAATAAGCATAGGCCTTCAGGTTCTTGTGTCCCTGATCTCATCACAGCGCACAGAGTTGCTTTGAATTGTTGATCTGACCGAACTCACAGACCTGCACGTCCATATTATACTCAAATAACAAATGCAAGCAATATTTCCCACTTTTTAACTCAGATTTTCACTTCAACCCACAACAAAATACACACTGCCACCTGCAACCTCTTTCTCAACCCACAACAAATATGAACTCACGATAAATAATCTTTCACGTACAAACCTGGTGTTGAGAAGAATGAGGAAACGACAAAAAACAAAAATAACTGTTTCAGCATCTTTGCTCTCGTGAACAATTATTCAGTGGCGAGTTTCTTTCGGGATGAGTTGCTTTGCTTCGTTTATGAATTATGGCTTTCCAGCTGAATTGAAATTATTTGCCAACAACACTTCATTTATATACATTCTGAATTTAAAATAAATATTTGATTGACAAAGCAAGGCATTATTATTGAATATTTTGAGGATCATGGACAAAGCTATCTGGAATATGTCAAAATCATTATGAATGGTTTAAGTATGCTTACATATACTTCATTACTTTCTTCTACTGGACGTGATCCCAAAATGTTTTTTATAATGGCAGATAGAGTCATGAAGGTTATATAACACGACACTATATGAATTATGAATATAATATATAGCAAGATCATACGAAATATATATATGTTATGTTATATATATATATTATAGAAAAAATCGTAGATGTGCAACCAGGATTGAAATATAGAACGTTCTCTGGTTGAAATATTAAAATTTATTACAAGCTTTCGGTTATCAGTCTATAGCCTTCAACGGGTAGAAAATATAAATTCAAAGAAGGACGCTAACAGTGAAACATGAAACACATGTGAGTCTAACTACAGTATGAAAGGTTATATGATATATACAAGGAATAGCATGAAATATGTAAATTTTAGTGTTTTTTAGTGAGCATAGTATATTTTCCTGGAAGTGGCTAGGAGTTAAGAAAACTCACTGAACTGATCTACAACTTCATACATACATCTAGGAGTTAAGAAAACTCACTGAACTGATCTACAACTTCATACATACATCTAGGAGTTAAGAAAACTCACTGAACTGATCTACAACTTCATACATACATCCAGGAGTTAAGAAAACTCACTGAACTGATCTACAACTTCATACATACATCTAGGAGTTAAGAAAACTCACTGAACTGATCTATACAACTGGCTGCATGCATATATCAAGACTATATATAACGCCTATAAGAAAACTCACTGAAGTGAATATCTACAACTGCATGCGTACACGACCACGTGCTGATTTGGCAGGCACTTCACGCTTATATAACTTATATAACTTATATAACTATAAGGGCTGTTTTTCACTGTCGCGTTTTAGCCGTTTTTTGTATATACGTATACGCACGGGAAAGTTAAAATCATTTAAACGATATGGATGCATATACGGTTAGATTCTGTTGATGATTTGGTATAATATGGTTTTTTTGACGTTACGCATAAGTGGAAAGCATCTCCCTTAGCATTTGAGAGCCTTCAAATATTTTGTTGTTAGACTACCTGGAATGTATCACATCTCTAATAACAGCGTTGTTCAAGTGTTTGAATATTTTCAGTGTCAAAACTATTTGTGAAAAATACCAGATCGATATAAGTTGCTGCAGAATTTACACAATTAACATGCTTGCATGCATGAAGTCGAACTATGATTTTTCTTGCGAAGAGTTGCCTGTGATTTTGGAATGAACATGTCACTAGCTTCTAAAGGCTAATCAGAGAGATTAGAATTAATGAATTGATATGCATGCATGGAAGATAATTTAATTACTAATTATACGCATTCGCATACAATGAAACCGCAGTACTATGGTACTATAACTTTGAAATAATTTTTTTTAAATAAATTATATTTTTGAAAATTGTGTTAAAAAGTAAAATCACCTATATGGCAGCTCTGGGCCACCATAATGGTGTGCTTAAAAAATCATCCTGATGACGAGAAACAAAAATCACAGATAATACAATTTGTCAATTATGATAAATTACCAAACGGTCCCTCAATTGCATTCACGAATATACTCACACCTTATAGTTTAATCACCTTTATATTCACATCAAGATACTGCACGCATTCGCCATTCGTTTTCCTAGTATCGCGTTGTCTATGTTATTAATCTAAGTAGTCATTCCGTAACATTTTGACGATGATGATTGTTGGCTACCTTTGAAGATGTTGAAAAATATCAAGCTTGATTAAACTTGATTTCCTTAAATTTCGATGATCCATAACGTACACGAAAACAAGATTTTGAAATAGATTTCAAACTTGTGAATTAGTTGTAATTTGTAAACGAAAGAAAAGAAATAAACCAGAGCGCGGAAAAGCCGAAGTGGCTATGTTCATCGTCGGTAGGTAAAGCTATGCGAGACTGACACTGGATGGGGTTAGCGTGGGGGGGATAGCGTGGGATAGCGTGGGATAGCGTGGGATAGCGTGGGATAGCGTGGGATAGCGTGGGATAGCGTCTGCCGCCTGAAAAATGTATGTGTCATTTCAGCTTGCTAATTATCGTAAGAATCCCGTCTCCAAAGCATTTTGCCGCCATAGTTTCTGGTCAAATATAAAAGCATGCATGTGGTCAAGTGTTTGCATGTCAAAATTGTCGCGGTGAAAAATAAGATATATATGCGCATCGAGTTAGATTTCCAGTTGAGTGCTACATTCTGCTTTCCTCAGAAAACCTTGGAAACTGGATTGGAAAGGCTACCAAAAATATTGCGAAGAATTGGCAATCATGCAAATATGGAAGAACAAAGGAGTTCAACATTATTATTAATAGCCTTGTTATATTGGCCTTGTTATATTGTTGTTGTTATATTTCGTTACCTTGTTATTATAATTATTTGAAATGCTTTTTGTTTATTGGAAATAAATCGATTTATTTTATTTGATCAGAATCTGCTAGGTTTTGATCAATAATCTGACTGAAACTAATTACGCTTCACCGCACTCTAGGCATGGTAAGTATAAAGGAAATCCCTCTTGAGTCTTCACTGTCATTATATTACTTTTAGTGAAATAAATTGAATGTGAATCAAAATGTCGAATTATAATTAGTTAACTGCCAGAAATTGGGGACAAGATTCAGACAAGCATGCGCATTTAATTAAAATGATAAAATGGTAATTTGTAAAAGAAAATCACAAGGACATCTAAACACATGAACTGAATCCTTGAGATTACTCAGATTAGGTTGTAGTAATTGGGGAAACGAGTTAATCGTGAATCGCTCAAAGACCTAGTCCTAAATCTCTAATCCTAACTAAACTAATCACCAGGATTAAACTCCAACATGTTTGAATGCATTATCAAATCCTATTGTAAGGTCTTAGGAAATTATGACAGTAAAAAAATTTAGTAGAGGCTACGTGACCTTGTTCACATATGCAAGGTCATATATACATATTTGCTAAACACCGATGAATGCTAATTTTGAAACCTAGATAAGGTATTTTTATAATCAAAGTTCATAATATTTAAATTATAATCTCAGGGCTATAGGGATATCCTGGGTATACGTGCTAGGTTGGTAGGATATGTGGCATTGTGCCGCATCTTGGCTTTTGATCTTCTTAATTGCAGTTCGTGATCAATAATGAATCTGGCTACTCATCTTAAAATTACAACCATATCACAGCCATAGCAGTATAAATATATACGTCACACGAAGTCGCATATCTGTTAATATAATATGTTGTCATGTTGTATGTTGTGTCGTTACTTATTTTAAAGATACAACATGTGTGTTAGAGACAAAATGGCTGATATTCTGGATTAGCGGGAACTTCATTACGTAATCGGTGTCCCAAACAGCTCCAAAATATCCGCGTACTACAAAAGAACCATATTTATAATCAGTGGATGTTGTTCTAAGTTCTAGATCTATGGGATCGACTTTGCAGAGTTTTTATTTGATAGAAAAGGCTTATAATTGCTGCTGAGCGAGCGAGCCTGAAGCAAGCGAGCGTAGCAACAGTCTAATTGGCGTAGTAGGCAGTGAAAAGCAAATTTTTAGGGTTGCGTTGCATTGTGGTTGTGCGCAGTGACGGAGTTGTATCAGGCCTGGTTGTATGCGCAGTTGTGCACAAATTAATCTCACGTTTCAGTGATATGGATTAAATACCAATATGGATTAAAACTTAAAAGTCAAACGTCCAAGTCTGGAAGAGGTACCAGTCCAGATTTAACATACATTCTGTTCTTCATTCGCCTTTGTTTTCATTTATTATAAGGTTGACAGTTGCTTGTCGTTTTGCCTGTTTTCCACTGTAATTTGTTTTGATTCACAATATAAATATTGGCACATTAATGTCTAGATTTTTCGTTTAGCATATCGTACGAAGCGCGATAAACAGCATTGACTATCAAATCGTATTTTAAGTTTATTGTTGATTGTTTTGCCTGTTTGGACTTATTTTGACTCAGTGTTGATAATCCAAGTTTATTTCCTCATCTTTGTCATTGCGCCACGTGTTTCATCTTCATAGTGTGCCTGGGCAGTCTGCCGTATTCGAATTTCATTTTTTTCGAACCGATTAAACTGTTTGTAGCTATTCTTGGTTTCATTTGCACTACGGTACTGCGCTTAATTCAGTGTGACGTTTATTAGGGGTAAAAAGCTCAGTAAAAGCGGCAATTTAGTGTTTAAAATTCAAAATCCAAGTGTTATGTTTTACATATTTGTCATTGCGGCTCGTGTTTCGTTGTCGCTTGCCGCATGTAAATACAGTAAATGAGTAGCAATTCTTTGAAGGAACTGATTATATCTTCGATTTCATTTGCACCTTTGCGCTTGATAGTATTTCCTATTTTATCTTATTGTTAGACCACAGTTTAGTTTGATAATCCAAGTTTATTTTTACATCTTTGTCATTGAGCCTCGTGTTTCAATGTCACAGTGGGTCTGGGCAATCTGCCATATACGAAAATACAGCAAACGAGTATAGCAATTCCTTGAACTATTTAAGGCAAGACGACGATGCCGAAGGGTCGCCGAATACATCAAAGGTGGATTGCCCTGCAGAAGGAGTCACTTACATTCTTATTTTGTTAACTTTAGAGTTCTACTCTTGAGAAATGTAGAATGCCAAAGCACGTGTTTTGCGTTGATATTTTTCCAATCCATATGGCATATTTTCATTGACTTTACTGATTACAAGCAGAATTCCAAGTTGCAAGAAAAATTTCACCTTAACACGTCCTTTGTTAAATTAATTGCAACGTGATCGTGTGACACATATTTCACAAATTTTAACGCTTTTGTAATATTTTTTTAGCATTTAGCAATTGTACAGTTTTGCCAATCCTGTTCTTATATGATATTTGGTTCAATTTGTTTTTAATGCCCGCAGCAATCCCTACCTTGCAGGTAACCTAGTTTTAGTGAATATAATTTTAGTGGATATACGAATGTCCACTCGACAAGTGGTGCTCTTTTTGTAAAATTTCTTCGCGGAAACCAAATTTTAGGCTGCAATTTTTGTGGAGCTGTATATTTTTTATGGCTAAAATTGCTCGATTCGACGTACCGATGAAGGCAAAGAGTTCGGTTTAATGCCAAGATCCTGTTGATATCAATTTATATGTTAGGGACATGTTGGGGGACATTTTAGGAACATATTCGGGAAATTTTAAAGATATGTTAGAGACATGTTAAGAACATGCTAAGGACATGTTAGAGACGTGTTAGGGACATGCGTGTTAGGGACATGCGTGTTAGGGACATGCGTGTTAGGGACATGCGTGTTAGGGACATGCGTGTTAGGGACATGCGTGTTAGGGACATGTGTGTTAGGGACATAGGTGTTAGGGACATGTGTGTTAGGGACATGCTAGAGACATGTTAGGGACATGTTAGAGACCCGGAATATGTTCCGGATTCTGAGTGTCGAAAATTTGTGACTGAGTTTATTGTAGATCCTCGGAAATGAGGATTTTGGAGGAGGGTTTTTACTTTCGATCACAGATAGATACATTGTATTTTTACAAACTACTGATATAATTATACAATGGAACAGATTTAAGAGTGTTAAGGGACTTAAGACATGTTTGAAATTTATCAATTGAATACATTTTCTAATATTATAAAGTCATAGTTGATATTATGTTACGGCCTAAAGTTTAATTACATAGCGCATCAGTATATTGAAGTCAGAAGCTCGTCACAAAATAATATTAGAGAACTTACGCAAAGAGGACGGCACCTTCGTAATGGCGTGTACGAATTGGCGCTTCTTCCGCTTTTCTAATCTATGCATATATATGGTCAGCAAAAGTGGAAGCAACGTAGTAATAAACTCAGCCGAGAACCCAGGCTGCATGGTAATTTATCATGGAGAAGACGCAATTCCTTAATTTTCTTTGTTGTGTTCCATTAAATCTATGTAAACAAGAAGTTCGAGTAAAATTCTAAGTAAAAACAAATTTAAATGACCTATTTTCATTATTTCAGTGCACGTATCGTTAATAAATTTCCCGGCAAAATGAATTGAAGATCAAAATACGAGACATTCAGGAGAAATTCAACAGTCTCAGTGAGATTAGTTTTTTCAACTTTAAAACAACAAATGAATGTAGAAGTTTTCTTCATCTTTCATTGCGTGTCGTGACGGCGTATAGTGTTAATAAATTGGCCCATTAGTCCTTTGTTTTCAAAATAAATATTAATAATTAACCAAAGGCGGTTCCTTAATTTAGGTTTAACATTTATGAAAAATGCATGTTTGACAGAAATATGTTAAAAGTTTATTCGCGCCTACATGGCAACGTATATAAGCAATCTGCACGATAAGGGAAACTGTCAAACAATTAAACTTCGCAGGTGATCAACTCTCGATACCAAGGGAAGATGTCGTTTATTTCGATCACGTTAAAAGTATTGATTGTATTCTGCATTTCAACATTGATTTTTGGAGAATTAGAAAGGCAAATGTTTTTCAACATACAAAAAGGTGAGCGTATTTAAAAACGTACTTATAATGACTATGCACGCATGTGCGTGCAGAGGTCGAGCCTCAAAAAAATTCCTAACATTTCGAACCAGGGGAATTTGGCCAAAGAGATAGTAGTCTTATAATTGTCGCACGACGCTCATGATCAAACAGATTTTTGTCTATTTTAGAACATCTGAAAAGAAGTTATTGTTAGTAACTTAATTTAGCTACATTTTACGATACACTTTCATTTAGCCTCATGCAGCGGGCAAAATATTCTAGCTTTTCACGACACTGATGCAAATGCATGCAAGTGCAGTATAACAATGTAGTATAGGCTAACTAATATTCATATCTACAATATAGATTCATAAACTATAACCGCAAGTTGCAAGGTATAACCGATATGCGTGACCATGCTAGAAGATGCGGGACAGCGTCTTCAGTCTATTATCAATAACAAGTTCACTGCAAATGTGCATGATGCATGATGTAACAGCTGTCTAAGAAGACATAAAAACGTCGAGACGTTTCGATTTTAAAGGCTAAATTAAGTCTTTAATTGTCACTATTGTAGTATGCGTTCCGGCAGGAAGTGTTAATAAATTGCCAAATGCAATAGGTTGGTCATCTTATATTTGCTTAAAAACAGAAATGATTAACCAAAGGCTGTTCCGCAAGTATGCATGTTAATTATTATCCTTTGACCGTGCCATCTACGAGAAGCGTACCGTTAATGACCTTATTCCGTCGTTCGGCATTTCTATAAACTGGTTGCATGTGTGTAAATGTTTAACTTTATCATGAAGTGTCGGGCGAGTGAAGGTTTAATGAGTTGCCGGATGATATATAAAAAAGGCCAGAGTCCGGGGTTAAACTAAATAGTTAGGGCTGCATGCTTTCCACTGTCGCGTTTTTCATACGCACGTACACGCACGTATAAAACTCGTGAAGCCTTGTAAATGTCATATTTGAAAAAGCCAGGGGCCGGTTGTACGAAAGACGGATATAGCGCTGAGCACCGGATAGTGATTTTTTCAACCGTTTTAAACATGACTGAAAAGCGATGAGATTACAGATTTGGAGCCGAAAGTTATGAAAGAGATCCCAAACTTTAGAATATTAAGATTTAATCTAGTTTATGCCAAACAACGTGCAATTTCAGAGCGATTGAAAAAAACACTATTCGGTGAATAGCGTTATCCGCCATTCGAACAACCGGCCCTAGACGAACAATTCGAAAGAATTTAGTTTTCCGCATGTGAAAAATATGCATATCTTATTATATGTATTTGTTGGACCATTTGTGAAATAATAACAATTGGAACCATTTAAAATTTTCCGCGCGTAAAAAAACACGACATCGCATTGAATTCATGCATATGTAATATATAAAACTATAATATTGAACCAAATATTTTTAATTTTTGAAACAATCCTAAATATTTTGATGATCGTACGCGCTAAAAAAGTACATGAAACAGCCAATATATCTAGTACTTTAATTTTTTATCATCTGTTGTAAAATTAGATGTTTAAACCAGATGTCCTAAACGCTTTGCAGGTTATCGTCTACCCTGGGAGTATATAAAATCAAACTATTCCGTTTATTCAAGTTTGGATTGCGCGCATTTGTGTCTGGAAAAAAGATGTCGTTCAGGATTTTCATTTAAGAAGAAGAAAAAAAATGAAATGAACTGCTTACTCACAGACATCCCACTAGCGTCTGAGGACAATGAAAGGGATGAATCATGGCAGTTTTATCAGATAATGTCTGGGTGTCAGGTATGCATTATTATGTGAAAATTTAAAAACAAAAACTACGGCTCAACAAGAGACTCCAACGAGTGGTCTTAGCATGTGTCTAAATTTGCCAGGCCCTAAGCTGTTCTTACTGCCCACAAACTGCTTATGGGGACTGCTTAGTTCACTATTTGGTATTAATTCTTAATGTAAAGGCTATTTTTATAATTATGATGCATGCCCTTGGAAATATATAGGGGGTCACGCATGGATTTACAAGTATAAGATTCGTTCTCGCGCGTTGTTTGCTGACGCCATCAGTCAAAACTCGTAGTCGTCGAGCTTTTGAGTACGAGTTTGTTGGTAATTTCATACTCGGAAGCCCAACGGCTACGAGTTTCGACAGATTGCGTAGGCGAAAGCACCGAGCTTTGCACGAAAATGACGAATCTTGTACTTGTAGTCGCACTGGTATAGTGAACGCTAAAGCTCCCCAATACATTACTGAAAAAGTCTGGTTTAAGCTTCGTGTGGTTTCAAGGTAAAAGGAATGTGCATGCCCTGCTCTAAAACTCCGAGAAATGCCTCCGGCAGCCTTCAACATGTTGGCAATCTCTCCTGTAGTATGGAAGCAAAGAACATCCTGGAACGTCTTGTCGTGACATTCTAACCAGGAACTGCACTGACAATGGTATTTATTGGATCTCACTAAATTCGGGTAAGCAAACTTGGTATAGACATTACAGCACAATTCATGCAAAGTTATTTATTATTTTTTAATATTTATTACCTACGAAAACGTTTCATGTTGCAGATGCATCTAAAATATTTCCTGTGTTGTGTGATATGATGAATGGAGGTATATTTTACTCGATCTTATTACAAATTCTGCAAATTATTTTTCAAAGTGAACATTCCTTGCAAGTTGAAACTAAACAATTCGCATATAATCCTGCCTGCATTCTCCAACAGGGAAATCATGAAATACAATAAAAAGTGAAAAGAAATTTACCAGGCACCTTTATGTTCTGAGTTAGCTAATGCCGACAGGATTTATTGACATCTCATGCGCAAGTCAGTGATGGCGGTGACTAAACTTTGCAAACATGCAAGTAAATAAACAGATTGCTTGGATGTTATTTTACAACCATTATAACAGAAATTATCAATTTAAATGTGGTAAAACGATATAACATTAATTTGTCCCTATAATAAAACGAAAAAATGGTTTACATTTTGCGCCCTTAATAACATATGCTTTAATTACTTAAAACTTAAAACACCAAAATATGCATATCAACAACAAAGAACGTTTTTAATTGTGTGGGTGAGACTATGCATACATGCATGGTTTTTCCTCAGCGATACAGATACGAGATTCGTCGGTTCTATTATTCACTATTTAAATATCATTGTGTTGGATTTATTTTACAATGTTCCTTCTGACTTTCTACAGGTTGGACCCTAATATTTAAAGGCGTTGCAGGTGTTTCTGGAGTTATACATAAAATTTGGGAGAATCAATCTACATTTAACGAGGAGTCATTTGAAGCTTTGAATAAAGAGAACAACTTCAAAAGTCATTATAAAAATAGAATTGTCAAAGAATGGAACACTTTTAACCCAGTCCAGGTAGAGATCACTATGTCGGCTGTATGGACAGGATGCGGTCTTTATAATGCATCAAAAAATATACCAATTTATTATATGGCACGCGGTCTCGTGACTGAAATGGTGTGCGCTGATTGGTTCTTTGCTGGGCTGGGATCCCCCAGTATTAGACCGTTGCCGTAGTAACCGTTTAACTCTCATATTTTTGAATAAAAACAAGCTTGCACTTTTATTTTTGACACGAAAAATATCGACGGAGAATGGACGAAGAAGAGCATTATTCAGTACATGTGAATATTATATTTATTCATCTTTGATTTTTGTCTATATTACTGTATCATTCTTATTTAACGAGTAAAAAAAAGTTTTGAAAGCCACTTCAGTGCATGCTTGGCGACTGGTTGGCGAAAGAGCCGGCAAAAATGCTGCAGCGCATTGTATAAATAAATAAACTAAATACTGTATGCCATATAATAAATCCCTTATTAACCGAATACGTTCGGTCCGTACTGGAAAAATATCAGACCTCGGTCTTTTATGTACGTACCTCGCTATCGCTCCGGCCGTACTGTCAAAACCTCGATCTGATATTTTTAAAATATATATATATATATATATATATATATATATATATATATATATATATATATATATATATATATATATATATATATCAAATCAGATAATGAAAGGTATTTAATTATTTGAATTTGTTTACAAGGCTCGTATTGTACTGTACTCTGAAGGAAAAGAAGACTTGGTTTTAACATTCAATGCTAAGAACAAAGGCAACTTGCACTGGTTTCAGGAAGCAAATCTTGAATCCTCTCCTTGGAAAGATATTTATGGAACCCCCAAGAATAGTTTCAGCCTTATAGGAGATTGTAATCATGAGAGAACAAGATGCCGTAACTTCTATATCAGTCGTCTTCACTACTATTGTCCTGGTGACCGCGGTTGGTTAAGTATAGGAAATAGAGATTATGATTGTAACTGGGAGAGAAGATATGGAGAGACTTCGTTTCTTTACAGCAAGAAGGAAACTAATGTTATCTGGAGCAGTGATGCTGGTAAAAAAATGACTTTAGTTTAGTTTCTTTGCATGTACAGTTTGCAAAATTATATATATATATATATATTTCTATTGTTTTAAATTTCTTTCCTTTAATTTTCCTGACCTGCTAATAGCTGTGCACAGCTATTCTTACTATAAGTACTTAATAGTTTTTTAAATTTTCTTTTAGTAAATGTTGGTTCTTCTGAAGTATTTGCAGTTTATCTTCGTTAGTCCTGCATGAGAACGACGAAAACGACGTGTTCGTGTTAACTGCGACGTGTAGGCTGTTGTGAAGTAGATGTGCTCTACTATTTGTGTGAGGAACTTAGAATACAGTTTAATTTTTATTATTGAGTCGAGGTTTTTGATAGTTGACGTGTGTTTAGATTGCGGAGTTTGTATAATATTCTCATGAACTGCACTTACATAATTTGTTTGATTGTGGATTAACCCACAAATCTTCCGAGGATTACGGGGCCAGGTATATAATCACTAATCTCCCGTATACATAGCTATATTACCGTTATGTCATAGCAAGCATAGACTATAGTTATAAGTATTGAGTTTTAAAAATAAAGAAAATGTGTGATAATCCCCGAGCCGGTGCGGAGCACCGTGCGAGGATACTAATTCCGCCCGGAGATTAGGAATTACACCCGGAACCCGGGAGAACATAGCGGAATCCAAAGTTGCCCAAATGTCATGGACGTTCAATGGTCATGGTACTTGTGCGCATGCGCGAAATGCGAACGAGTGTAGACTGGTAATCAGCAACTTCCTGATTGGCTAAGACGAAACGTTTGTGTTTCAGTAAAAAACGTCAGCAATTTAACTGTCATTTTCTAAACTATTTTTTAAAAAAATATTTTGAAAACAAAATATGAAATGTGGAATCAAATAACAGATAAAACACTGGGAAGAGCTTAAAATATTATCAGAACTGGAGGAATTAGCGGTGAAAAGGAACAACTCGATTATAATCCTTGAAATGGTAGGAGTCTATTTTGTTTATTTCGAGGTTTATTTCGTGTTTGCTGTACGAATACATTTTATGACCTTGGTACAGTATGTCGTTTTGCTCGGTTTTGCGAAGACGTGACCGACTATTTAAGGCTTTACATCATCATTTTAACTTCCAAAAGAGTCCTTAAAAGTGTAATTCGGAGTTTTAATATAAGAAATATCACTTTAAAGGTTTATATATAGTCGACTGCAATCACTGCATGAATCTAATAATCGAAAAACAACATTCGACGTTCACTGCTTGGTTATTTATTATATTTGGCCTGTTTTCATGTTTTGAAGGTTTAGCTATAATGAAGTATTAACTCTCACTTAAACTGTGAAAGTCTATAACTTAATGCAACGGAAAGCAGCAGGAAAACGGGTGATTTCACTTCACTTTACGACTGTGTTTGTTTCCGAAATATTTGAAACATCAGCTATCGGCTTTACATTTAGGACATTTCATAATATTGAAGGTTAGGTCTGGCTAGCTCAGGAAATATTTTGCTTCGTTTGAAATGGCGAGGGGTTGCTGCATGCTCGTATTTCTAGTATCCTTGTAATTTTGCATGGTGATATAAAAATATCAGTAAATTAGCTAGCGGCTAGCTTGAACACTGCTTGACCTTCGTTTTGCCCGCCTTAAAATTCACGGTAGACCAAAGGCGAAACAAAGGTCTGAGGAGAAAGTGCTCAAAAGCGTGTTTCTCCCACTTCGTTATTTTTAATAATTTCACTGATGATTGACACAGTTAATTCACACTTATTTCAATGCTCACCAGAGTTTCCTGTAAACATTCGCGGAGTATGTTGTGTGAGTGCGCCTTGGCTTTTGTTCCGGTAATTTTCAGTTAGTTTACACAGAAGTGTTCACTAGTAATAATAATTGTTGCTGTTTTAAAAGGGTTGGATGAGGGTGCGGATTCTGCTTTTGTATTAAACGAATTCGAAGGATACAGCCCGACCACTGGCCGTATTCAAACAACATCCATTTCTGTGATTCGTAAAATTTCTACTCAAATATAAAAAGCAAAAATACTTTTCAATTTCACCTAAGTGCTGAAGATTGCCAACGATCTTTCAAAATATCCTTTCTGTGAAAGTCCATTGCATCTTTCTGTGAATTAGCAAATCAGCTTTGTCGACCGCTTCCATACGCTTTTGAGCACTCTGTGTTCAGGCTATAAATTAACTTGTAGGTAAACCCATCATGTACTTGTCATAGAAAAATTGTCAAAGCACAAAATTTTTCAACAAAGAAAACTTGTCACATAATGTGAGCACTTGCATGCGGCTTGCCAGCGGACTATAGTACTTTGCAATGGCGGGCTCACGTTGTCCGCTGTACGATTACATCGCTGGCTGCAAACTAAATTGTCAAAGTAAACTTGTTGGCATGTTCACACGAGAAAATAAAACTTGTCAAAGAAAAATTGTCATTGAAAATTTGTTGTACATACACACGTGCAATTGCCAATTAAAACTTGTCATATAAAAACTTGTCATAGAAAACTTGCTCGTCTGTAAGAGGATTCAATCAACTCGTATATCTGTGTGTCGTAAATTAGCGCCGGTTATATGCATGGAAATATGCGAGAAACTGAGATAAAAAAAAGTTCCTGACGCGAAGCCACAATTAACTGATAATTCTTCATACTTTCACCATGCCCATAATGGTCATTAATCATTTATTTCCTTTCAATGACCCATTGTATTGATAGCCGTCGTCGTCGCGTTCGCGTCCAACATGCTTAAGGTCGCTAATATAATATCAGTGTTGTTATGTTGTATGTTATGTTGTGTCGTCACTTATTTTAAAGATATAACATGTGTGTTAGAGAGAAAATGGCTGATATTCTGGATTAGCGGGATCTTCATTACGGAATCGGTGTGCCAAACAACTACAAAATACCAGCGTACTACAAAAGAACCATATTTATAATGTGGATGTTGTTCTAAGTTTGAGATCTATGGGATCGACTGCGGAGTTTTTATTTGATAGAAAAACCTTATAATTTTAGTGGATATAATTTTAGTGGATATACGAATGTCCACCCCACAAGTGCATGGTGGTTTTTTTGTAAAATTTCTTCGCGGAAACCAAATTTTAGGTTGCAATTTTTGTGGAGCTGTATATTTTTTATGGCAAAAATTGCTCGATTCGACGTACCGATGAAGGAAATGTTAGGGACATGTTAGGGACATGTTAGGGACACGGAATATGTTCCGGATTCTGAGTGTAGAAAATTTGTGAAGCTTATTGTAGACTACTCGGAAATGAAGATTTCGGAGGAGGGTCTCTTCTTTCGATCAAATTAACAGATAGATACATGTATTTCTACAAACTACTGATATATAATTATACAATGGAACAGACGTGACTTAAGAGTGTTAAGGGACTTAAGACATGTTTGAAATTTATCAACTGAATACATTTTCTAATATTATAAAGTTATAGTTGATAATTTATTATGTTAGCCTAGTTTAATTACACAGCGCATCAGTATATTCAAGTCAGAATCTCGTCACAAAATAATATTAGAGAGCTTACGCAAACAGGACGGCATCTTCGTAATGGCGTGTAAGAAATGGTAACATGGATAACACACTACTGTGCGACTTCTAGCAGGTTTTGTCTCATCTTTTCTACAGCCATATTTGCATCACGGATTGGAAAGGAAAGGGGTAATTTCTAGTCATCGACGAAAGATTCCAGTTGACAAGTAGGAGTGATTGATGGCAATTCATTTATATATATATATATATATATATATATATATATATATATATATATATATTATATATAAATATATATATATATATATATATATATATATATATATATATATATATATATATATATATATGAAAAAGTAAGGGGGATAGTACTGCCCCCCAAGGAACTCCATGGGTAACAGGAAGTTGTTAGATGCTGTCGAAGGCCTTTGATAGATCTAATAAAACCATTGCCGACAACATTTTTTTATCCATTGCTTTCAATATTTCATCGGTTATTATTGCGACGTTGAGTGTCTCAGTTGAATGATGCGTCTTGTTGCCACTCTGATGGAATGTGAGCCCGTGCTTAGAGCTTAGATATATATTGAACTGTTTTAAAACAATCTTTTCGCAAATTTTTGAAACCATTACTAGGAGTGACAGCGGTCGATTATTACTTGGGATCACATAATCACCTTCCTTAGGTAATGGTATAAGGAAGGTAATGGTGTCGTCTGAATATCTTGGGCTTAAAGGATACACCTACTAATGACCAGTACTGTGTGTTTGATGAGTTTAAGGAACAGCTCACCCGGGACCAAAGTGGTTGGTACGAGACAGGCCTCCCGTGGCGTGGCAACCACCCTCCATTGCCCAACAATGAATCTAACAGTTTGCGACGATTAACAAGTTTAACGAACAGACTTGAGCGTCAGTCAGGGTTTAACAAGCAAATATGGGGAGATAATCGAGGAACAAAAACTCAGAGGGGATAATCGAAAAAGCTGAACAGCCAAGTGTAGGAAGAGAATACTACATCCCCCAGTTATTCGACCTGATGCAGAATCTACAAATATCCGAGTTGTTGTGATAAACCATGGGTGTCAAATAAACTAAAACGATTTGTATCTAAAAGACAAGCATCTCTCGCAAAGTATGGAAAACATTCCTACCTTTTTAAATTTTGGCGTAACAAGGTCCAAGCTGAGGTAAAATCTTGCAAACAGACATATTATCATAATCAGGTTCACAATATCAAAGATCGCGATATATCCAAATGGTGGAAAGAAGTGAAAAAGCTCGGGTCTGGGTCTAGTCAGATCGACTGGTGCGAACAGTTATTGCGTGAGTGAGTCTGCCATTACATTAAATGATTTGGCTGAGAACATAAATAACTATTTCGTGAATTTAACAGCGGACTTTATTCCCCTTGGCGATGAGCTGAATACCCAAGATGACTATATAATTGACTCTGACCTATGCTCTGACTTATTTGTTGATCCATATAAAGTGTATCGCACCTTAAAGAAAGTCAAATCGCACAAATCTGTCGGTCCCGACGAAATCCCTAATAGGGTACTTCGTGACTTTGCCTTTGAGTTATCATCAGTGATAGCTGACATTTATAATAGTACTCTGGTTGAGGGAACGATACCTGATCTACTAAAGTCATCAATTATCTCTCCAATACCTAAAAGTATGCCACCGAAGTCGATTGAAGATGATCTTCGCCCAATAGCACTAACACCACAGATAGCTAAAGTAATGGAGAGTTTCACCTTAGAGCATTTATTAAACGATATTGCTGACCAGATTGATCGATCCATACCAGTTCGCAATAAAAGGTCGGTCCACAACACAAGCATTAGTCCTCTTGCTACACAACGCCTTAAAGACCTTAGATGGAGGAGGCTAAGTATAAGGTCTAACATTGACGTACTAGCAACATTGACGTATATGCAAAGTATAAGGTCTAACATTGACGTACTAGCAATTAATGAAACTAAACTAGATTCCTCGATTACAAATAATCAAATTCAAATCCCCGGTTACGACGTTGTTAGAAGTGATAGACAACACCA